ACTGAGAGTGAGTATAACCCCACAGTGTACACACACACTGAGAGTGAGTATAACCCCCACAGTACACACACACTGAGAGTGAGTATAACCCCACAGTGTACACACACTGAGAGTGAGTATAACCCCCACAGTACACACACACTGAGAGTGAGTATAACCCCACAGTGTACACACACTGAGTGTGAGTATAACCCCACAGTACACACACACTGAGAGTGAGTATAACCCCACAGTGTACACACACTGAGAGTGAGTATAACCCCACAGTGTACACACACTGAGAGTGAGTATAACCCCACAGTACACACACACTGAGAGTGAGTATAACCCCACAGTGTACACACTATATATACACTGAGAGTGAGTATAACCCCACAGTGTACACACACACTGAGAGTGAGTATAACCCCACAGTGTACACACACTGAGAGTGAGTATAACCCCCACAGTGTACACACACACTGAGAGTGAGTATAACCCCACAGTGTACACACACACTGAGAGTGAGTATAACCCCACAGTGTACACACACTGAGAGTGAGTATAACCCCACAGTACACACACACTGAGAGTGAGTATAACCCCACAGTGTACACACACACTGAGAGTGAGTATAACCCCACAGTACACACACACTGAGAGTGAGTATAACCCCACAGTGTACACACACACTGAGAGTGAGTATAACCCCACAGTGTACACACACACTGAGAGTGAGTATAACCCCACAGTGTACACACACACTGAGAGTGAGTATAACCCCACAGTTACACACACACTGAGAGTGAGTATAACCCCACAGTACACACACACTGAGAGTGAGTATAACCCCACAGTACACACACACTGAGAGTGAGTATAACCCCACAGTGTACACACACTGAGAGTGAGTATAACCCCACAGTGTACACACACTGAGAGTGAGTATAACCCCACAGTGTACACACACTGAGAGTGAGTATAACCCCACAGTGTACACACACTGAGAGTGAGTATAACCCCACAGTACACACACACTGAGAGTGAGTATAACCCCCACAGTGTACACACACTGAGAGTGAGTATAACCCCACAGTGTACACACACTGAGAGTGAGTATAACCCCACAGTACACACACACTGAGAGTGAGTATAACCCCCACAGTGTACACACACACTGAGAGTGAGTATGACCCCACAGTACACACACACTGAGAGTGAGTATAACCCCACAGTGTACACACACTGAGAGTGAGTATAACCCCACAGTGTACACACACACTGAGAGTGAGTATAACCCCACAGTGTACACACACTGAGAGTGAGTATAACCCCACAGTGTACACACACACTGAGAGTGAGTATAACCCCACAGTGTACACACACTGAGAGTGAGTATAACCCCACAGTGTACACACACTGAGAGTGAGTATAACCCCACAGTACACACACACTGAGAGTGAGTATAACCCCACAGTACACACACACTGAGAGTGAGTATAACCCCACAGTGTACACACTATATATACACTGAGAGTGAGTATAACCCCCACAGTGTACACACACACTGAGAGTGAGTATAACCCCCACAGTGTACACACACTGAGAGTGAGTATAACCCCCACAGTGTACACACACACTGAGAGTGAGTATAACCCCCACAGTGTACACACACACTGAGAGTGAGTATAACCCCACAGTGTACACACACACTGAGAGTGAGTATAACCCCACAGTGTACACACACACTGAGAGTGAGTATAACCCCCACAGTACACACACACTGAGAGTGAGTATAACCCCACAGTGTACACACACACTGAGAGTGAGTATAACCCCCACAGTGTACACACACTGAGAGTGAGTATAACCCCACAGTACACACACACTGAGAGTGAGTATAACCCACAGTACACACACACTGAGAGTGAGTATAACCCCCACAGTGTACACACACACTGAGAGTGAGTATAACCCCCACAGTGTACACACACTGAGAGTGAGTATAACCCCACAGTGTACACACACACTGAGAGTGAGTATAACCCCACAGTGTACACACACTGAGAGTGAGTATAACCCCCACAGTACACACACACACTGAGAGTGAGTATAACCCCACAGTGTACACACTATATATACTGAGAGTGAGTGTAACCCCCACACTGTACACTATATATACACACATTGAGAGTGAGTATAAACATACACTATGTACACTATATATACACTGAGAGTGAGTATAAACCCACACAATGTACACTATATATGCTGAGAGTGAGCATAAACATACATTATATACACTACATATACACTGAGTGAGTAAACACGTACACTATATATACACTGAGAGTGAGTATAAACCTACACTATATACACTATATGTACAATGAGAGTGAGTATAAACATACACTATATACACTATATATGCACACTGAGATTGAGAATAAACGTACACTATATATATACTGAGAGTGAGTATAAACCTACACTATATACACAGAGTAAGTATAACCATACACTATATACAATTATATATACACTGAGAGTGAGTATAAACACTACACTATATCCAATTTATATATATATATATACACTGAGAGTGAGTATAACCCCCACAGTGTACACACACACTGAGAGTGAGTATAACCCCACAGTGTACACACACTGAGAGTGAGTATAACCCCCACAGTGTACACACACACTGAGAGTGAGTATAACCCCCACAGTGTACACACACACTGAGAGTGAGTATAACCCCACAGTGTACACACACACTGAGAGTGAGTATAACCCCCACAGTACACACACACTGAGAGTGAGTATAACCCCACAGTGTACACACACTGAGAGTGAGTATAACCCCACAGTGTACACACACACTGAGAGTGAGTATAACCCCACAGTGTACACACACTGAGAGTGAGTATAACCCCACAGTACACACACACTGAGAGTGAGTATAACCCCACAGTACACACACACTGAGAGTGAGTATAACCCCACAGTGTACACACTATATATACACTGAGAGTGAGTATAACCCCCACAGTGTACACACACACTGAGAGTGAGTATAACCCCCACAGTGTACACACACTGAGAGTGAGTATAACCCCCACAGTGTACACACACACTGAGAGTGAGTATAACCCCCACAGTGTACACACACACTGAGAGTGAGTATAACCCCCACAGTGTACACACACACTGAGAGTGAGTATAACCCCCACAGTGTACACACACTGAGAGTGAGTATAACCCCCACAGTACACACACACTGAGAGTGAGTATAACCCCACAGTGTACACACACACTGAGAGTGAGTATAACCCCCACAGTGTACACACACTGAGAGTGAGTATAACCCCCACAGTGTACACACACACTGAGAGTGAGTATAACCCCACAGTGTACACACACTGAGAGTGAGTATAACCCCACAGTACACACACACACTGAGAGTGAGTATAACCCCACAGTGTACACACTATATATACTGAGAGTGAGTGTAACCCCCACACTGTACACTATATATACACACATTGAGAGTGAGTATAAACATACACTATGTACACTATATATACACTGAGAGTGAGTATAAACCCACACAATGTACACTATATATGCTGAGAGTGAGCATAAACATACATTATATACACTACATATACACTGAGTGAGTAAACACGTACACTATATATACACTGAGAGTGAGTATAAACCTACACTATATACACTATATGTACAATGAGAGTGAGTATAAACATACACTATATACACTATATATGCACACTGAGATTGAGAATAAACGTACACTATATATATACTGAGAGTGAGTATAAACCTACACTATATACACAGAGTAAGTATAACCATACACTATATACAATTATATATACACTGAGAGTGAGTATAAACACTACACTATATCCAATTTATATATATATATATACTGAGAGTGAGTATAAACATACACTATATACAAATATATATATACACTGAGAGTGAGTATAAACATACACTCCATACAAATATATATATACACTGAGAGTGAGTATAAACATACACTACATACAATTATATATATACATTGAGAGTGAGTATAAACACTACACTATATACAATTATATATACACTGAGAGTGAGTATAAACACTACACTATATACAATTATATATACACATATACACACAGTAAGAGTAAGTATAAGCACACACTTCATATAATTATATATATACTCACAGTAAGTGAGTATAAGCATACACTTAAACATGGAGATGGGTTTCTGTGTAGGCACTTGGTGCCAAAAACAATTAGGCACGACACTGTGAAGTGCTTTGGAACATTTTAACATGATAAAGTAGTAAAAATACAGTGGGGTCCCATTATAATATGGCAATTATGATCCATACCAACCAGTGTTATAACAGGTCATGATTGACAGCGCTTTGCATTCACTGCACACAAGTGTAGAAAGCTGGCTGACTTCTGTGCTAAACAATGGTGAATGTCTGGGACATCAGGTTGCTGCAGATGTCATTTCAACGTTTTGAAGTAAGGCTGCCAGCTTTCTGGATGTATTTTGTATTTTTTGGAAAATAAATATCTGGACCCACGCCCCAATCACACATTAAGCAAACCTGCAATATAACAAGAACATTACAATGGGGTTCCATTGAATGCAGGTTCTTTCTTCTTAGGTTTGAAATTGATTTTAATGAGCAGAACCACACAATTCCACATTCTGCAGTTCACAAGTGGCTTGAAATAATTCTAGCTGATCTGGACCAGACTTATGGGGTGGCTGACCAGCAATTTATTTAGCATCCAGAGAACTAGCAGACTAGTCTTCTTTGCCTTTGAACATCCCTATGCTCTGCCCGATTTGGTGTTTCAGTTGGTATTCTGGATATAATATTTATGTGGATATTTTTGTGAATGCACAAAGCTTTTTAAATATGTAAATAATGTTGCTCATAGTTTTTCAATGTAAACTTTCATTTTTTTGTTTTGTTTTTGTAGATTTTGGAGAATGTAGGGAAGCTTAGGTATGTCCGCTACAGGTTTCGAAGGACGTGTGGAGTGTATCCTAGATGGGACAGGGGACAACACTCAGTCAGCTCAGTTAAGAACAAGCACGGGAATAAGAAATGGAAGGACCCGAAGTTTGGCTCTTGAGGAAAAACAAAACCATTGTGAAAATGAAATTGAGAGGTAATGTAATTTAATATAAGAATGCAAGATACTGTGAGAACTGATCATTTAGAAAAATAGGCAGATGCAGTTTAATGTTGCGGAATGTGACGTACATTTTGTGAGGAAAAAGAAAGGAACTATACAACAACAACAATTAATATTTATGTAGAAACTTGTATGTTAGAAAGACATCTCAGAACACTTCACACAACTGACTAAGAGACTGAACAGGGAGGGGAGGGGAATAATGGTTGAAAGCATAGTCCAAGAGATGGGTTTTAAAATTGGCTTTAAAGTCTGAGATGAAAGGGGCAAGGTGGAGAAGGTTTTGAGATGGTGTTTCAGATAGCAGGGGGCAAAGTAGCTGGCATGGAGTGGGCAGTGGACCCGGGTAAGGAAGGGACGTGACGGGCTTGTGAAGGCTGGTGTAGAAGAGAACAAGGGCTGCAGCGTTCTGGATGGCCTGCAACTTGTATAGGGAGGAACTGAGGAGGCCAGTGAGAAGGGCAATGGACTAGTTGAGCCTGGAGATGATTAATGCATGAGTGAAGGTCTTGGCAGCCTTGGAGAGGGGGATAGAGGTAGTGGCAGAGGTGGGCAATGTTGCAAAGGTAAGGGAAAGTAGAGTGAGTGAGAGTATGTATGTGGGGTTTGAAGGACAGTTGGTGGTTCCGCAGAAGTTCCTCTCTGGTTCCATGAGAAGGAGTGAGCACCTGTGCAGATTGAAGGGAGGCCTTGACTCTATCCTAATGCCCTACCTAAATGACAATTTTTTTTACAACCCAGCCACTGGATAGAAAGGACATCAAAGTCATGGAAAAGGTACAGAAAGGGTTTTCATTCAGAGGAACAAGTGGTAATAGTTAAAATAGGCTTGAAAAAAGGAACTTGAACAGAAAATGTTATTCTAATTGAGATTCAAAATTATGAAGGGTCTTTATAGGCTAAATCATGAGAGATTAATTCTGCTGGTTGATGAATCAGTAACTATCTATGGAGCATTAGGACAGAATTGTCACTAAAATAGTTAAAGGTGGAAGTTGGAAGAAACGTTATCATGAGATGGTTGTCAGAACATGGAATGCGTTGCCACAAATAGCTATTGAGGTTAAGACCATAAAACATTTAAAAGGAAATTGGATAAATATTTGAAGGGAAACAGTATAAAAAGGATTTGTTTTGATAATTAGATGCTGGGATTAGAGTAGTTAGCTTCAGTTGAGGAGTTGGCACCAGGATAGGCTCTGATCAATGATTTGGTCATGAGGGATAAAAAATACAGAACCATGCAAGGTTTTTAGAATTTTTAAACTTGGCAGGAAAAACTATTGATTGTTATAATATAAAAGTGATAATTGAATGATTTTGAGTTATGGTGTTTAGAGGAGTATGGGCCTGAAGGGTACTCCTATGTCTGATCCAAATTATATGTTTTATCAATTAGCTGAATGTCCTAATTTACAAATTTCTATTTTGTGGGAAAGCAAAAGCACTTGGATGACATGATGCAAAGGAATCCCAGTGCACCACATTTGGTTGAAAGCATTAATCCACGACAGATTTGCAATTTCTTATCTGTTTACAACCCAACTATGGGCTGTTTGTTAGTCTCCATTGAGTATGGTCCTTGTTTTGTTCAAATACTCAGCAAAGTCTTAAAAAGGTAATAAACCATATGCAGCACTGAACTGATTCTGCTGCTGTAGAGTATTCTTTCAAGGGGGTATTCTTTAAGTACTCAGCGTGTAGGCACTTTATAATATCCAAGTTGTTGTTATTGTACATGTATACATATAACACTTGGAAAGCTTCCAGTTCCACAGAGCGTGTGGCTGCCAACTGGTTTTGAATGTTATCAGCTCAGTTACTGTGATTTGGAGAAAATTTTAATAATGGAATAATAAAGCTACTTTAACATTGGAATAGCATTATTACCTCTACATTAGCTCAAAACATCTAAATTAATAGAAAAGATAAAAAGGTAAATTTAAAAGTTTACCCGTACTTTCCCTATCACCAATATTGTATTTTCCTGAAGAGAGCCTTCAGCCACTCTGCTCCCAACTTCTGGAACTCCATCCCCCAATCTCTCCGCCTCGCCCCCTCCTTAACCTCCTTCAAGTTCCGCTTCAAAACCTTCCTCTTCGACCATGCCATTGGTCACCCTCCTTCCCCTCCCCTCCCTTCTCCCCCCTGACCCCAGCTCGGGTCTGAAATGCTGTACATTGTCCAGCGCCTTGGGACGTCCTCCTGGCATGAAAGGTGCTGTACAAATGTAATCTTGTTGTTGTTTCCTTCCATTTCCTTTTTTCCAAGTTTTTCTATCAAGGTTTTATTACAATTATTTTTGCTTGTCCAGCTTATTGCATATTTAAATTTTTCTAAATTTTTGTTTTAACTAATTTTATAATAATAATAATAATTCTTGCATTTGTTATAGTGCTTTTCACATCTTCTAGTTGTCTCAAAGCGTTTCACAGAATATGCTATAAAGTGAATTGACCATATATTTGTGGGCAAAACGCGGCAGCCAGTCAAACAGTCATGGATTGAAAATAACCAATTTATTATTATTTTGGAGGGATTATTATTAAGCGTGTGGAGTAACCTTGCCCAAGGTTTTGCCCTGCCTTGTGTGGTGCTCATCCACAGACATGAAGAGACATCAAGGGACCATGTTGTAAGGAGGCACATGGTCAAGATGCCTGCCTTGACATTACTTCCTGCCCAGAAAATGAAATTAAGAACAGCCATTTTTACTTTGCTCCTACCTTACAATCCGGTTTACAACTTTAGAACTACAGCACCTGCGATTCTCAGCACATATGCTTCTGCACCTCAACTTCTAGCCACTCTCAATTCTTCTTTTGCACATTTATAAAGTCTACATTGAGCGAAAAATGGTTCCCATGGACACACAGACACACATACATAGAATTCTTAGTGAGCACAAGGGACGAATGTACGAGAGACAGTGTAAGAGTGTGAGTGGATGAGGTAATAGATAGGGGAAAGGACAAAATAATGTTCATGAGAGAGAAGAGTGAATTACATACTAGGAGATGTAAGAGAAACAGAAAGAGTCTCAGTGAAAGGGAAGGAGGACCGAGGAGAGGAAAAGTGAGAGTGACTCACTCTCCCTGATTGGTGTTCAGCACACTCTATAATGTGCTCTGACACATTACTGTATATAAAGAATTCTATATAAATCCAAGTTGTTCAGGTGGGAAGCAACAAGTGAGTGTTGCAGAGAATGCTAGAAAGACGGACGAGAAAGAGTGACGAACAGATAAAGCCCACAGTGAGATGGGGACGACAGGGAGACAAACAGGAATTGAGGGAGAGAAAAGCACAAAGACAAATAGAACATGGACGCATTCACAAAGTAGTTAGGATCATTACCGACAGCTCGCTCAAAGACTTTTGCTTCCAGATAAACCCATCTCCAAACTGCCCATCCTGAGATGTGCTACATTGCTAGTGCGTAAAGCGGTGCTTAACTACACACCAAAAAAACCCATGAATGTTTTATAATAAATATATACTTATCAGAACACCTCCAATGTTTTGGTAAAATAAATCGTACATTCTGAACTTTTTCTCCTGCATCTAAGAGGTTATTTTTTCTTGGCACTGGGCCCATGTTAAAAAAAACTGGTAAATTTTACCAGTTTACAACTTTTTTTTAACATATTCTATCTTTTATGAATATCAGACCTACATTGCTTACCTTTTTTTCCCCAACGTCCATCTTAGAAGGTTAACTATTTATTTGTGACTGACTGCTTTTATAGTGAATCAGAAATTACAAAATTGAAGCTTGTATGATGTGGTTCTAGCAACCTCTTGTATTAAAAACTAGAAAATGTAAATTGGCGCTCTGAGGGTTTTTAAAAAACTAACACAAACTGGATTATTATAGATATTTTCCATGAAACCTTACAAATATAACTGAAACAAATTGATAAAAGTTCAAACTTGGAATACATCTAGAAATAGCACAAGATGACTCCACGATTGTCAGCATTGTTTCCCACTTGAATGTGTGAAAAATTGATCTGCGCCTGAATAAATGGTGTATATAATGAACAACATTCTTTCTGATCTACACAGTTCTACATATTTTATTACTCAGATTGCAAAGCACCATTGGCCAATTCCAAAACCAGTTACAGTCCGGGAATGGAGATGACATGAATACAAATCTTCGGTGGAAATTGAACAAAGTGGAGAAAGAAAAGCTGGAAATCAGAAGCATATACAATGAAGAGGTAGAGTTGCAAAATTGTTTATTATTATTTCAAACCAATCTTTTGTGGAATATAGTAACTTCCTAGTATTAGGACAGCTTAAAAAATGTGTTTTTGTGTTGAGGTTATTATTCTTGCATTGATTCTCTGCATATTTCTCCCCTCTGGTTTCCCTGAGCCTTGCACACTGGCGTGTTGGTATCCCTTCCATCGTTTGTAGAAACAAACATAACTTTTGACATGAAAATGTGTAATGTAGTAATGGGATTGATCAAATAACATGGCAGTCTTTGAGTAATCTACATTATGTGGTCTCCTTAACTGCAAGAACATTTTATTTTGATTTGAACTATGAGAGCTTAGAATCTTCACCCTGGTATTGGCAGATGTAAAATTTATACATTTTCTACCATTTTTAAGTACTTGGAGGGTAAACTCGCAGCAACTGCCCAATGAAAAATGTGTGTGGAACCATATCAAGGTGCATGGTGATACTGAAGAACAAATAAATTAGTTTTGGTGTATATTTGGGAAATAGAGCTGTAGCTATTCATGGCTGTTATATTTTTCAAAAGTTATGAGAACATTTCTTCAAATTTGCTGTTGAGTAGAATGCCTTGCTAATGCATGAAAATACAAATATGTTATAATATAATGTGCCACAAGCTCATTAATGTATTTTCCTTACTTTATTACAGTTTATTCAATCACATCCTGTGCTACAGGAGTTGAAAAATATTTTGGTGATTTGAAAGAAAATTACGATTGATGTATAAAACAATAAATTATCTTCAAACCATCTCCAACCTCACTTTCCTTTCCAAGGTCCTGAAATAAGTCATGGTCAAAATGACAAATGACATTCTGTTCATCTACGACCAGGGCTCCCATGTCTCCTCGTCCTTCTTGACCTCTCTGCTGCCTTTGACACCGTTGACCACTCAATCCTCATCCACCACCTCTTCTCTCACCTCAACCTTCACGGTTCTGTCCTTGAATGGTTCAGATCATACCTCTCACACCTCCTCCATTTCATCTTCACAAATGGTTTCTCCTGTAGTCACTGCACCGTCTCGTGCGGCGTTCCTCGGCTCTGTCCTTGAACCCCTTCTCTTCAACATCTATATGGTTCCTCTTGGTGACATCATCCGCAGACATGGGGTCAACTTCAACATGAATGCGGATGACACCCAACTGTACAAGAATGTCTATCAGACATCAAATCCTGGATGAGAGCTAACTTTCTTCAGTTGAACGTTAACAAGACCGAGGCCCTCCTGATTGGCTCCCGTCAGCGCCTCAGGCCACCCTCCACTTGACTAAGCCAGTCCGGAACCTTGGCGTCTTGTTTGACTCTGAACTATCCTTTCTATCCCACGTCCGTACCATGAACTGCTCTGCTTTCCCCCACCTCCGCAGCATCTCCCGGCTCCACCACTGTCTTACATCGCATGGCACTGAAACCCTCATACGTGCATTCATTACATCGTGGCTTGACAGTGCAAACTCACTGCTTGTCGGCCTCCCCAACTCCTCCCTCCATAGGCTGCAGATCATTCAGAATCTGTAGGCCGTGTCCTCTCCTGCACCAGGCTCCGTCACCCTATCACCCCCAACCTCGTCCAACTCCGCTGACTTCCCATCACACAGAGGATACAGTTCAAGATCCTGGTCCTCACCTTCAAAGCCCTCCATGGCCTTGCTCCCCCCTACCTCTGTGACCTAATAACCCCATCCTGCTCGCTCCCTCTGCTCAGCGGGCTCCGGCCTGCTTCACGTCTCCCGCTTTGCCCTGCCCACCATTGGCAGGCGGGCTTTCTGACAATCTGCCCCTACCCTCTGGAACTTCATCCTGCAGTCCCTCTGCCTCACCTTTCCCTTGCCTCCTTCAAAACCCATCTCAAGTCCCTCCTCTTCGACCATGCTTTCGGTCACCCTGCCCTCCACCCTGCCCCCTGCCCTCCACCCTCCCCAATCCTGACCCCCAGCTTGGCTCTGAAGCACTGACTGGTCAGCGACATCCTCCCAACGTGAAAAGTGCTATACAAATGTAATTTTGTTATTGTTTTATCTTTTATGGTGTGAAGTGTTATACCTTGATGATTATTAAACGTTTTTAAAAGCATGTATAGTCACTTAATGATTAATCTTAGAGGTTGGCTGTTTACCTGACTTCCAGGAGAAATGTGCTTACCAATTTGATATATATTTCATTATATACCAGTACATTTTGTATAACTTGCTGTATCAAAAACTAGAGTACCATTGCATTAAAATACAAGTGCATTTTTTGTTACTTCAGAACTAGGATGCTACAAATGTATTTAATGATCTGGCTTTTGGTCACAAAACGCCGACACCATCAGCATCCAAGGCTGCACTCTCCACCTCTCAAAGCCAGTCAGGAACCTCGGCGTTTTGTTCGACCCTGAGCTGTCCTTTCTCCCTCATATCCGCGCCACAACTGGCACCGCCTTCCATCACCTCCGGAACATCGCCAGACTACGGCACTACCTCACCCCTCACGCTGCTGAAACTCTGGTTCACGCCTTTGTCACCTCAAGGCTGGACTATGGGAACTCTCTCCTCGTCGGCCTTCCCGCCACCTCTCTCCACAAGCTGCAGGTCATTCAGAACTCTGCAGCTCGTGTACTGTCCCGCACCAGGCTTCGGGACCACATCACTCCCACCCTCGCTCGCCTCCACTGGCTCCCCATCCCCCAGAGGATTGATTTCAAGATCCTCATCCTCACCTACAAGGCCATTCACGGCCTCGCTCCCTCCTACCTCTCCAACCTACTATCCCCCTACCTACCTGCCTGTACCCTCCGTTCCTCTGGCTCCGGTCTGCTCCACGTCCCCCGCCCCAACCGCCCTACCATCGGTGGTCGGGCTTTCAGCCTCTCAGCCCCGAGGCTCTGGAACTCTATCCCCCAGTGCCTTCGCCGCCTCCTCCCTTTCCTCCTTCAAGGCCGGTCTCAAAACCTTTCTCTTTGACCGAGCCTTCACATCCCCTCTCGACTCTCTTCCCCCTTCTCGCTCCCTCTCATCCCTCCCCTCACCCTGACCATTTCCCCCCTGCTCGGGTCATGACCCAACTGTGCAGCGCCTTGGGACGTCCTCCTGACGTGAAAGGCGCTTTATAAATGGAATCTTGTTGTTGTTGTTTTGTGAGTGTGTCTCTATCTGAGAGTTACAAATGGTTTACGCTGCTGGCTGGGCTCCTGAGCTGGCAGCTGAAGAGGGTAGGGAAGGGAATGATGACTGAAAGCATGGTCAAACAGATAAGTCGGGCTTTGAAAGTGGGAAAGGAGGGGATAGATGCTCAAGTCTAGTTGATAGTTGTATCTTCTCATGGGTTCAGAGAGACCATAGTTCTCTCTGAGTGATGTCAGTGATGTTGGGCAATTGATGAACAGTGGATGTGATTGTTTTTCTTCTCCAAGGAAGACTAGGGTTCAACCTGTTCCCCAGTTAATAGTCTCAATATCATGCAGGTACTTGACCATTTAATTTGGACAATAAAAGTGTGATGTATATTTTAATGTTTTGTCACTGTCACTTTGTTCCACAGAGATCAAAATTTGAAAGCAAGGTTGCAAAGTTACGAGCTCAGCTGGAGAAAGGAGAAGCCCTGAGACAGAATCTGGAGTATGAGCTAGCTGTGGCCAGGAAGGAAGCTAATATTATTCAGTGCAGATCACAAGACAGAATAGATGAGGTGAACAAAATACATGAGGAACTGAAAGGTACAAGTTTCTGTTTCCCGATGATAATTAGATAAGTGCTCCGGGACGTTACTCTGTGTGAAGGGCGTTATATAAATGCCGCTGTTGTAGATAATTAAGGTATAGATTTAGATTTCGCCCACAAACTATCCAGTCAATGCACTTTACAGTATATCCTGTAAAGGGTTTTGAGATGTCTCATTGACATGATGAGGCTCTATATCAATTGCAAGGATAGTATTATTATTATTAGTAGTAGTTTTGAAAAATGTTTTAATCTAATTTTATTTGGGATTTTTTTCATGTTGTAAAGCCAATTCTTTTGTGACTACATAAGATAAGCCAATTGTGTGTAGATGAAGAACAATATCCAGGTTGGGACATGGAACTCGTATAGCTGACACTACAATGTGGTGTTCTGCATTGTTGGAGGTGCCGTCCTTTGTATGAGATATTAAAACTGAAGCCCCGTTTGCTTGTTATATGGATGTTAATGATTTCATGTTCCAAAAAAAAGAATCCCCCAAATAAAATTAGTCATAAAATGTTTTGGGACACCCTCTTGATGTCAAAGGTACTATACCAAATTTAAATACTATTATTATACCCAGAGTCAGAGGCAAAGTCCAAATGCATGATTTAAACCCAATTCAGTAACTGAAGCAATCTGCTGTCAGGGCAGTGGATTCTTGTACAAAGAGAGGAATGAAAAGCAAACTAAAGCAATAAATGTAGGTGCTCAGTATCTCAAATTCTTGCTAAAGCTGTAAAATACAAGTATATTGTCAAGAGAGAACCTATCAACATACAGAGACATGACATCCACCATATGAATCCTATAAAGATTCTGATGATTTAATCAATCCACTATGGTGAATATATAAAAAGACAAATGGATGCCATTGACCCCCTTCCTGGCATAATGAAAAGAGGTGGAAGGTTTTACTCTTAGTGACAGTGAATAATTACGTTCTATCTATGTGACAGATCCAACTGCAGTATATACTGTTCAAAGTAGATGTTTATTTGGATTTGGGGAGTGATTTGGGGTACAGATACATAGTTTGTTAAAAATATGATTGCCCTTAAAAGGGTAAACAGGAATCTGGGTTTTATATACAGAACTACTGAATACAAAAAAAAGATTCTGTACAAGATGTTGATTAGGCTGCAGCTGGAATGTTGTATGCATTTTGGGCACTTCATTATAGAAAGGATATTAAAGCTAGAGAAAGGGTACAGTGTAGGTTCATGAGGATGATGCTGGAAATGAAAGATATAGGTTTGAGGAGAGGTTTGAATTATTTCCATTGGTGCAGAGGAGATTGACGGGTGATGTGATAAATGTGCTTAAGATAATGAAAAGGCTTGAAAGAACTAATTGTGAAACTCCGTTCAGCTGGAAGGGGATTTATAATAATAATAATAATAATCCTTGAATTTGATATAGCGCATTTCACGTCTTCTGGACGTCTCAAAGCGCTTCACAGAATATCCTGTAAAGTGAATTAACTGCATTTTTGTGGGCGAAACACGGCAGCCAATTGCGCACAACAATGTCCCAAAAACAGTCATGGATTGAAGTGACCAAATTATTATTGTTCTTTTTTATCTTGAGGGATTATTATCAGGCGTGAGGAGTAAGGAAACTTGCCCAAGATTTTGCTCTGCCGGGAATCGAACCCAGGTCTCTCGCTGAGGCGAGTGCTCTAACCACTGAGCTACAGGATTCCACAATGCTAAAAGCGTAGTATCAATCCAGTTTTGACAGTTTTAATCTGATTTTGAGCTTTGCTTCCAAGTTGCCCTAATGCCAATTTCAAAAGAGGTTTTAAGGTAAAAAGATGTGCTTATAAATCCCCGGGTGACCTGATTGACTTTTTTAACAACAGTAAGAACCTAGATTTGAGGATAAGAGGGCATGAATTCAAGATGGTGACTAGGGAAGTAAAAGGAAGGGTTTGGAAGAACAACTTCTCTCAGAGGGTTGTCTGAGTGTGGAATATTTTGCTAAGTGTCGCTGTTGGAATGGAGTCAATCGTAGGCTTATAAAAGAGAATTAGACAAATACATGCAGAGGAAGGATTTTACGGGGAAAGAGCAGTGGATTGGGATTCTGACAGACAGCTTTTTGAAAGATTGTATATCGACATGAAAAATGGGTCGAATATCCTCCGATGTGTGGTAGACTTCTATCTTTGAATTATTCTACTCAATGAAGGCTTCATCAAAACTCCTTTCCTTGCCCACAGACCCCTCTGCCTGCAAGACAATGCTTTTTTTTAAATCATGGGGATCCATACAAAGTGAATAACATGGAGTTATGGTCTATTCTGTTTTTAGAACTTTTGTTTTACAATCATATAATGAAAGATTGTATATCGACATGATATACAATCCAATCCAAGCCTCGATTCACCTCTAGTTAATTACTGGGAAAATGCTATACAACAACAACAAAATTACATTTGTATAACGCCTTTCATGTCGGGAGGACGTCCCACGGCGCTGGACAGACAAAGTTTCAGACCCGAGCTGGGGGCCGTGGTCGGGGTGGGTGGAGGGCAGGGGGGAAAGCAGGGAGATTGAAAGCACGGTCGAAGAGGAGGGGTTTGAGATGCGTCTTGAAGGAGCCAAGGGAGGAGGTGAGGTGGAGGTACTGCGGGATGGAGTTCCAGAGGGTGGGGGCAGAGTGGCAGAAGGCCCGCGCGCCAATAGTGGGGCGAGTGAGGCGGGGGACGTGAAGCAGGCTGGAGCCCGCTGAGTGGAGGGAGCGAGCAGGATGATAGTATATAGTACAGTATAATGTTCAGTTCCTGTGGTTCATTAAGTGAATAAACAACTGAAGATTTAATAATTATTTGCTATTTCGACATTTGGGTGTTTTGATCGATTCACTTGTTGACTGAAAGAGTGAATATTTGAAATAGTTTGCTCCCTCACTGTCTTCAAAAGCCGCCAAAAACGTACCTTTTCGACCATGTCTACAGACACTGTCCTCCTCCAACTTGCATTTACTTGCGAGAGGTCCTGAGTTTGATTCCCAGGCAGGGCGAAACATTGGGCAAGTTTCCTTCCTTTAGAGCTTTAAACTAATAAGGGGTGGGGGGGTTACGGCTAGATGTAAACTCACAAAGCAAATAAGAAAAGTCAAGGCTGCAGAGCAGAGTAGTGACTTGGGAGATGAAAAACTAAGTGCGTCAAATAGGGAGAAATAATAATATAATATAATAATAATCCTTGCATTTGATATAGCGCTTTTCACGTCGGGAGGACGTCCCAAAGCGCTTCACAGAACACACTGTAAAGTGAATTGACTGTATATTTGTGGGCAAACGCGGCAGCCAATTGCGCACAGCAATGTCCCACAAACAGTCGTAGATTGAAAATGACCAATTTATTATTGTTTTGGGTTTTGGAGGGATTATTATTAGGCTCTGTGTGGAGTAAGGAAACTTGCCCAAGGTTTCGCCCTCTGCCTGGAATTGAACTCCGGTCTCTCACTTGCAAAGCGAGTGCTCTAACCACTGAGCTACAGGACTCCAGTTTAACAAAGAAAACAGGGCATTAATGAGTAGGGGAAACCGTAAACAGTTAAAATTAAGGCGCTATACCTGAATGCACGAAGCATTCGTAACAAGATCGATGAATTAATGGCACAAATAGAGATAAACGGGTACGATCTAGTAGCCATTAATGAGACGTGGTTATAGAGAGACTAAAGTTGGGTGCTAAACATTCCAGGGTACCTGACATATAGGAAAGATAGGCAATATGGAAAACGAGGGGGTGAGGTAGCCCTGTTAATAAAGGATGAAATAAAAACAGTAGAGAGGAAGGATCTTAAGTCAGAAAATCAGGATGTAGAATCAATACGGGTGTAGCTAAGAAACAACAAGGGGCAGAAAACACCAGTGTGAGTAGTTAATAGACCCCCAAACAGCAGTTACAGTATTGAGCAGAGTATTAATTAGGATATTAGTGGAGCATGTAACAAGGGGAATAGAATAACAGTGGGTGATTTTAATCTTCATATAGACTGGGAAAACCAAATTGGCAAAAGTAAATTAGAGGATGAGTTTATGGAATGCATTAGAGTTTTCTAGAACAGTTTGCTGAGGAACTAACCAGGGAACAGGCGATCCTAGATCTTGTTTTGTGTAATGAAGAGGGCTAATCAGCAATCTGGAAGTTAAGGCTCTAGGGCAGAGTGACCATAATATGATGGAATTTAATATTAAGTTTGAGAGTGATGTAGTTAAGTTTGAAACAAGGGTCTTAAACTTAAATAAAGCCAACTTTACAGGTATGAGGGATAATTTGGCTAAAATAGACTGGGAAAGTAGATTAATAAATATGACGGTAGTCAAGCAATGGCAGATGTTCAAAGATATATTAGATAATTCCCAGCGAATGCATATTCCCTTGAGAAATAAAAAATCCTCGGGAAAGTGGTTCAACCATGGCTAACTAGAGAAGTTAAGGAAAGTATAAAATTAAAAGAAGAGGGCAATAATATTGCCAAAAAGAGCTGTACGCCTGAGGATCAGGAGGGCTTTAGAGATCAGCAAAGGATAACCAAGAAACTGATTAAGAGGGAGGAAATGGAATATGAGAGTAAAGTAACTAGAGATATAAAGACAGATTGTAAAAGCTTTTACAAGTATATAAAGAGGAAGAGATTAACAAAAGTAAATGTGGGTCCCTTACAGGCAGACAAGAGAAATTATAATGGGGAATAAAGAAATGGCAGAGTCACTAAACAAATACTTTGCTTCTGTCTTAGAAGATACTAAAACTTACCAGAAATAGTGGGGAACCAAGAGACTAATGTTAGTGAAGAACTTAAAGAAATTAATATCAGTAAAGTAATAGTACTATAGAAATTGATGGGACTAAAAACTGATAAATCCCCTGGACCTGATGGCTTCCATCCTAGGGTTTTAAAAGATGTGGCTGCAGAGATAGTGGATGCATTGTTTTTGATCTTCCAAAATCCCTGGATTCTGGAACGGTTCCCGTTGATTGGAAAGTCGCAAACATAATGCTGCTATTTAAGACGGGTGGGAGAGAAAAAATGGGGTACTATAGACCACTTAGCCTGACATCGGTGGTTCTAGAGTCTATAATTAGGGACGTCGTCGTGGGGCACTTAGAAAGTCATAACATGATTAGGCAGAGTCAACATGGCTTTACGAAAGGGAAATCGTGTTTAACAAATCTTTTAGAATTTTTTGAGGATGTAACTAACAGGTTAGATAGGGGAGAACCAGTGGATATAGTGTATTTGGATTTTCAGAAGGCATTTGACAAGGTGCCACACAAAAGGTTGTTACATACGATTAGGGCTCATGGAATTAAGGGTAGTATAGCGTGGATCGAAAAGTGGTTAACAGGCAGAAAACAGAGAGTAGGTCCTTCTCAGATTGGCAGCTTGTGACTAGTAAAGTGCCACAAGGATCAGTGCTTGGGCCTCAACTGTTTATAGTCTACATCAATGACTTAGATGAGGAAATAGAGCTTAATGCATCTAAATTCGCGGGCGATATAAAGCTAGGTGGGAAAGTAGGCTGTGAGGAAGACACAAGGTGGATGCAAAGGGATGTAGACAGGTCAAGTGAGTGGGCAAGAAGGTGGCAGATGGAGTATAACGTGGGGAAGTGCGAAGTTATTCACCTAGGTAGAAAAAATAGAAAAGCAGATTATTTTTTAGAGGGGGAGAGACTTGATAGCATTAGTAATCGCCCCCTCCCTTCCTATTTTCAGGTCTCGGCTGAAGACCTTTCTTTTCGACCGCGCCTTTGGTCACCTTCCTCCCCCTCCCCCTGGCTCGGCCCCGGGATCTGTTACTGTGAAGTGCTCTGAGACGGCGTCCAGCGTGGAGGGCGCTATATAAATCCAAGTTGTTGTTGTATTCAGAGGGATTTAGGTGTCCTTGTACATGAATCACAGAAAGTTAGTATGCAGGTACAGCAAACAATTAGAAAGACTAATAGCATGTTAACGTTTATTGCAAAGGGGTTAGAGTAGAAGAGTAGAGAAGTCTTGCTGCAATTGTATAGGGGTTTGGTGAGACAGCAACTGGAATATTGTGTGCAGTTTTGGTCTCCTTATCTAAGAAAGGCTATACTCGCCTTAGAGGGGGTGCAACGTAGGTTCACTAGGTTGGTTCCTGGGATGAGAGGGTTGACCTACAAAGAGAGGTTGAATAAACTAGGCCTATATTCTCTAGAATATAGAAGAATTAGAGGTGATCTTATAGAAACCTATAAGATTCTTAAGGGTCTTGACAGGGTAGATCGTGTGAGACTGTTTTCCCTGGTAGGAGAATCTATAACTAGGAGTCATCGTCTCAGGATTAAAGGTCAGCCTTTTCGAACTGAGTTGAGAAAACATTTCTTCACTCAGAGGGTAGTGAATTTATGGAATTCTCTACCCCAGAATACTGTGGATGCTCAGTCCTTGAACATATTCAAGACTGAGATTGATAGATTTTTAAAAACTAAAGGGATTAAGGGATATGGGAATAGTGCGGGTAAATGGAATTAGGTTAGATCAACCATGATCTTATTAAATGGCAAGGCAGGCTCGAGGGGCCGAATGGCCTACTGCTGCTTCTATTTCTTATGTTCTTATGTATTCCACATGCCTCTCTTTACCTAGCAGTAAGTAGGAAACTGGTTGTGGGTCGATTGGCGGATTGCTTTTCTGGGATTAATAATCCCTTCAAAAAAAAATAATAATTTGGTCAATCCACTACTCTGTGGGACACTCTTGTGCGCAATTGGCTGCCGCGTTTTGCCACTCAAAATATATACAGTCAATTCACTTTACAGTATATTCTGTGAAGCTCTTTAGACGTCTAGAAGACGTGATAAGGTGCTATATCAAATGCAAGAATTTTTATTATTTATTATTATGGCGGCCTTCACCCAGGGTAGCGTCCCAGAGATAATTTAAGGATAAGAATGGAAATTATGTACATTATTTCAAATGTAGTTTCTTCAACTACTTCAACATTGAAGGCTTTTGTAGTCTCTTAACAAGTTTGTCTTCTGGACTATTGCAGTATACCTGAAACATTTCTCAGTGTCTTGAAATTTGCAGCCATGCAGATTAAAACAGTAGAATAGCTAATTTTGTGACAGCAATAACAACTTGCACTTATATGGCGCTCTCAAGGCAGGGTAGCATCTCAGAGCACTTAACAGTGGCGGAGTCTGACTCTGAGCCGGGGGGAGAGGGGAGGTGGCTGTATGCATGGTTGAAGAGGGAGAGTGTTCCAGAGTTTTGGGGCGTAGTGGCTGAAAGCACGACCTTCAATGGTGGGGTGGGAGGGTGCGAGTGACAAGCAGGAGGCCGGTGCCAGTTGAGCGGAGGCTCCGGGTGGTGGATTGGGGAATGAGGAGGTCGGAGAGGTAGGGAGGTGACAGGGAATGAATGGATTTGAACACAAGTGTGAGGATCTTGAAGTTGATCTTTAAGGTGATGGGGAGCCAGTGGAGCCCGGCCAGAACTGATGAGATGTGGATACGAAGTTTGGTCTGGGTCAGTATGCGGAGCAGCAGAGTTTTGAATGAGCTGGATCTTTTGAATGGTGGAGCTGGGGAGACAGGCGAGGAGTGTGTTGGAGTATTCCAAGCAGGAGGTGACACCGAGGCATGTACGAGGGTTTCGGCTGCATTTGGGGTAAGGTTCGATTGGAGGCAGGTAATGTGAAGAAGTTACTTGTACATCATTTTACGAACTGCTGTCTTTTGCTGAAATAAACAGAGCAAAATACAGCCCTTAAGCAGAGAGGAGAGGATTTGGAGAACGCCCTATACATTTCCAAGCAAGCTCGGGAAGATGATCAGATTAGGTCTCAAATAGAACTGGAGGATCGAGAGAAAATTATTCACAATTACAATGCTGAAAATGAGTTGCTCGTCGTTGAGAGAGATCAAATTGATGCTGTCTTGCAGGTACCAAACAATGTCTCATGTTTCTTTGCAATTATGATGTGCATTCCTTTCCTGATTTTTTTTCATGCTTATTTTGGTTATGGTTGGGTATGGTTCACAGGAACTGTTTCTCAATCATTCTTTCTTAATGTTTAAATTCTATTGTTTTTGCAATAACAAAATATTATAATTCTTTCCACTTAGTACTTTATATTGTCTATTGGATTGATTTTCAAGGTTCTCGTCTTTACCCACATATTCATCCACATCCTGGTAGCTTGTAATCTCACTGGTCTTCTCCTCCGCTTAACAACCTCAAGCTTGCTGCATGTTTCCAGCCCTCACTGGAACACCATTGATGCTGAGCTTTCAGTTCCTACATCCCTAACCTCTGGAACTCCTTTCCTGTACCCCTCCATCTCCCCCCTACCCACTTATCTCTTCCCGTCAGAAAACCTAACCTGTTAAAACCTGCTTATGGGCAAGGCCACCTCCACGTTGCTTCAAAATAAAAACAGGAGTCGCTGGGAATGCTCAGGTCAGCAGTTCAAGCAGCATCTATGGAGAGAGCAAAATTTGAGGAAAGTGGGTTAACGTTTCATGTCCATGACCTGAAACGAAAGGCTTCACCCACTTACCTCATCAATTTTGAGCTTCACATGATGCTGAGCTCTTCTTCTTCGCCGTCTTGGCTCCAAGCCAACTTTTTTGGCCAGGAGGCTTTCCGCTGCACAGCAGGACCCACCCGCTCCCAAAAAAAGTTCTGACGCAAGGTCATTGACCTGAAGCGTTAACTCACTCTCTCACCATAGATGCCGCCTGACCTGCTCAGTGTTCCCAGCGACTTGTGTTTTTATTTCTGATTTCCAGCATCTGCAGTATTTTGCCATTTTTCTACCTTACTCCATTTTGTGTGAGCCGCTTTTGTTGTGTGGTTAACTTTGATGTAGCTGCATTTTTACATATTTTCCTTTCAGTACTTGCTGAATTCATCAGTGTGTGTTTCTGTATCGTATTTTAGCATCACCTGAAATGTAGTGATCTGTTCAGGGAACCAGTGGGGACTGGCGAGGATTGGGATGATGGTCTTACAGAGTTTAGTGCGTGGGAAGTTAAGGATCCTACAAATATAAATGAAGAAGTTAAATTTGAGGCATTGTGTGAGCTAGAATAGGAAGAAGTTTTGATCACCCGGTGGAAGAAGTAAATACAGATAGTTAATGTACACAGTATGACCCCTTCTGGCTATTTGGTGAACAACAGTCCAAAGAATAGAAGAGTGTGAAATATCCTCCAAGAGGAAAGCTTGGGTGAATTTCACCTCGTTACCTGCTCCTTGAGAATTGTATCTAACACTATGCTTTTTAATTCAATATTTTAAAAATAGTTCCAGTATCTTAGCAGCAAAGTATGATAGTTTTATTTTGTGGAAGGAAGGTGACTATAGTTGTCTAAACTCAGCAGTTGTTTCTTGGATGCTANTTTTTTTCCTGTCCTTTTTTAAAAATTTTCCTGATGTATTTTGTTTCACCTTGTTTGCCTAATCCTGGAGAATTTAGGTGCAGCTTGGTAAGAGTGTGCATTGGTGTACTATTAAACATTAAATAGCTAAAATCACACAACTTGTCATGACACAGATTGGCAAGCTTCCTGATGCTTGTTCAGCTTGGACTATTCTACCCATTAAGGATTCGTCTTGCAGGAACCGGATGGGAAGAATCCAGCTCCTAGTAGATCGGTTTAATGCATTTTTTTTCCCAAGACATTTAATGAAGTACCTTTTAGAATAAAAACTGTTAGTGAATTGAGGGTTCTTGAAATTAAGGGACATTTAACACATTGAATTGAAACTAATGGTAAGAAACTGGAGCCATTATACGTGAGCATTATACGAGCTGTGGCTGAGTCACTAATAGGGATTCCTAATGTTCAGACTTTGACCCCATTTTACATAAAACAAAATGTATGTATAAAGTGAGGTTCAGCAGTTGGGCTAATAGTGCTTAATGTGGATAAATGCAAAATAAGCGGTGCGGACATAAAATACTGAAAAGATGAATATTCGTACCTGGCATGGTTTAGCAGAGGTATTTTAATATGTTTGTAGATTGGTTTGTGGAAATGTGTATTCAGTTGAAGTTGGCATGTTACGATGCAGTTGGTGGAAGGTTAAAGGACGAATTCAAGGATGTTATTCTCCATATATTAATTTTGAAAATGATCTAAGTGAGTCCCACTGCACCAATGTCATCATCATTCACGTATGAAATGCATAGTTACTACACTTTACAGTATATAATAATAATCTTTGCATTTGATATAGAGCCTTATTCACATTATTGAGACATCTTCACAGGATATACTGTGAAGTGATGTAACTGTATTTTGTGGGTGAACACATCAGTCAACTTGCACACAGCAATGTCCCAAAAACAGCCATGAAATGCATGCCTAATTCTATTTTGGGGACTGTTGGCCAGGGCAAAGAGAAACTGTTTTTTGAATCGTACCATGAGATCTTTAATATCTAATGATCCCTTTAAAGGGATCAGTACAGGCAGGTGGGACCTCGGTTTAGCTTCTCATCCAAAGAATGGCACCATCGACAATGTAGCACAGCACGCGCCCTGCATTGGAATATCAGCCTGGACTAACAGATTCCAAGTACCGAAGTAGGGCTCGAGCCCACAACTTTCTGACTCAGAGACGAGAGCGCTATCAGCTGAGCCAGGCTGACGCATTGTTGCTGAATCCTGTGAGATCCTTTGAGACATTCTCCTAATGTGAATGGTGTCATCTTGTAGCTTAGTGGTTAGAACATTCGCATCGCAAGCAATTCGATTCCTGGACAAGGCAAAACATTGCGCAAGTTTCCTTATTCCACATTCCCCTGTTTACCTAGCAGTGAGTAGGAACCCGGTTGTTAGTTGATTTGCCGATTGTTTTTCCGGGGTCATAATCCCTTCAAAAAACAGAAAAATAATGGTAATTTTGTCACTCAATCTACGACTGTTTGTGGGACATTGTTGTGCGCAATTGGCTGCTGTATTTCGTCCACAAAATATACAGTTAATCCACTTTACAGTATATTCTGCGAAGAGCTTTGAGACGTCTCGGAGACGTGATAAAGCGCTATATCAAATGCAAGGGTTATTATTATTTATTACCAAATGTACGGATTATTATTTTTAGTAATAATCCATGATGATGATTGGAGAGAAATTACTGTGCAGTTGCTTATAATTCCTATTTAAATAGTTGGATTTATATTTTGAAAGGAACAACAACAAACATTTATTGAGCTGCAGAAAAGATTAAAGGAACTTGAAGTTGATCGGAACAGTAACGCTGAGGCATTGCGACGACAAGCGAATGAACTTCAGTTCAGCACTGAGCGAGAGGAACGATTAAAATCAGAGCTTGAGGTAATTAATATCTCTGACATATGCATTTGGTTTTTAATTTACATTTTAGATGGCAGGGGTGTTATTTAGGGTCATGTATCATCTGTTAAATTCATGTGGAGGCATTTTGCTCTTTTATTTTCTCGTGCTTTTACTGTTACCTTTCAGTACCTCACCTATAGCAATTTATTTGCTGCCTTGGGCATGTAGCGTGAAATTTTAGGTGGCCTTAATTATGATTATTAACTAATCAAATTAACAAAACCTTTTTTTGTTTGTTGTTAATTACACAGTTAAGAATTACCTGTAATTTCAGTGTTTACACATGGCACACGTTATATTTGTGTGAATTGGCAGCCAAGTACATCTGACTCTTTCTGTTTTTGGTTGGATGACAATATGTAATTGTTCTCTTCTGGCACTATAAGAGGGCCACACTGCAGACATGTTTCTTTCAACCCATGGTGGTGTGCTTGGTTCATTGTCTGAAATCTAGCATTACTGCTTGGTGATTTTAGCCTAAACGATTTTGTAACTGAAATCAACTTTGTGGGTTTGTTTTACTTCCCATTTATTTTATGCTGGTTGTAAATTCTGGATTGAAGATCCTCCTTGGTGAAGAGGGATACTGCCTCCAGTCATTTTGCTCCTGACTATGTGGTGCACCTGATCTGTTCCAACTATCAGGCTGACACAAGCGTTTAGTTATCAGTGCAAGTCTAACCAGCTCATGGTAGGGTGCAAGTGGGAGGTTCAGAGTCTTGTTTCTAACTAGATTGTACTGAATTAATTCAGATTGTATCAATTGCAGATGTTATGTTAAAGCCAACAATACGAATGGTTTCAGATAGTCTGACAAGAAGTGCATTAAGGGTACTTCAATTTTTGTGGCATATATCCTCTTACTCGCTGTTAGATTAATGTCATTATCAATGTATTTCTGACATGGAATTGGCAGTATAACAACATTAGTGAGTTTTAATGTGTTGTCCTCTTCTAATACAATATTTTTAAATTGTATTTTGTGTAGTGAATATTTTCACACTGATATTGCCTGTATCATAACTTAACCCTTAACCTGATTCCTTAGACTGACTTACCTATCCCTCAGACTCACCAAACCTATATGTAACCTTGAATCAGTTGCACTTCCCAGTTCCTTCGTACTCCACATCCAGTCCCTAACCAGGACTGCCTTCCTCCACCTCCGACACATCAGTTGCCTTCACTCTTATCTTCAAATGTTGCTGAAACTTTCATTCACCTCCCATCTCGATTTTTTTCCAATGCACTCCTCACCTGTTTCCCTAGCTCAACCATTAGTAAGGTCCAAATCATTCGAAACTCTGCCATTCGTATCCTCATCCATTCCAGGCTGTTCACCCTTATCACCCAAATTCTTGCCAGGTTCCCCTGGCAGATCGGATGGATTTCAAGATCCTTACTCTCACTTTCAAATCGCTTCATGACCTGGCACCTTGGGGTCTTCTGCAAGTTCTCGACCCCACTGCTCTACAATTGGGAGCCGTGCTTTTAGCCACTTTGTCCCGAATCTCTGGAACTCCTTCTTGCCCCCTCTTTGCTGGTCTTTAAATCACACCTGAAGACTTTCCTCTTCAACTGTACCTTGGGACAACTCCTCTCCCCCTCTGGCTCATCATCAAGCCATGCCACTGTTGAGCGTTCAATGACACTACCCGCATGAAGGGTGATGTAAAATGCAAGTTGTAGTTGTCTAAACAACAGAATTCAATTTTATAATCATGAAAGAATTTTTTAAAACTCTGAATACTAACAAACGAACGAATTGATGCTTTAGTGAAGAAACTTGACAATTGCTTATTATTCAGGTAGCACTACAAAGGGTGAAGATTTTGGAAGAAAATATTGAGGCAGAAAGAGCAGCACATCTGGAATCAAAGTTTAACTCTGAAATTATTCAGGTACGCAGCTAAGTTCTCTTTATTAGGATGTAGTCTTAATTATATTTGCTTCTTTTTTTATTGTCTTCGTTGAATTGAAATAATCAGTTTTGTATTTTGAGTAATGTGTAAATTAGACATTATGGGCTAAAGAATAAATGGATTAATGAAAATCCCTTTTCAATATTCATATAATCCTATAATTGATGGAAAAGTATAATGCAGTAATTGGGGTCCACAGATTTGCAACCAGCGCTATAATGCGGTGTGATTGCTGTGTTACTCGTCCATTGTCATTGTTACTGCACGTGCATGCAGAAAGAGGCTGCCAACATCGGTGCTTCAAAATGCCAGTTAGTGTGCAGGAAGCCAAAATTACCAACTACTGAGTCATCATGTCACTGCCAGAGTCGACTCCTGTGCGCCTGATGAAACTTCATTGCTGTCCTGATGCCCTGCATGTCAGCCATTTTTGTTTCTTTCGTGGTGGTTTGGCTATTATCTGATCAGGTCGAGCTAGAGTGGGAAAGGATAAATGTTAACAAGTCCAGAGGCAGCACATGAATGCGGCTTTACAGGTCACCAGCTGAGATGATTTTATTTTATGCTCATAGATGATGTTCTCAAAATTATATTCTCCACGAGCACGGAGATCTTCAGCCCAGGCATTGTGCTGAAGTTAGCAGGGTGATCTGATCTTCTTTCAAACTTTGTCTTAATCTGTTTATTAATTTTCATCTGGATCCATTGCTGAATGTTTGTTTAATTTGCCTCTGCTTCATTTGGCTATGCTCTTGTCCTGCATGATCTGCAGAGTGTTTTTGAAGGATGTCCATCAATACTTGACTGAGTGACCCTTGAGTTCATTATCTTCCTTATGTTCCCATCACTAAAGTCTGCTTACATATCAGTCCCATTTGCTGCATTTATGTTTTGTGCCAAAAGCTTTGCTCCCTCTGCGCAATAATTACATCCAGACCATTTTCCTATAAACATTACTTCTGCTTGAAAACATCTCTATTCACGCAATTCCTTCCTGTACACACCATTTACCTCACCAACCATTGAAGTTAATTAACCTGCTTAGAATATAAAGGTTGATAATGAGAGAGAATATAAAATGAGATTGCCCATTTTGTAGAGATTTTCTCATTTATCGAGGGAAGTGTCCTCCACGTACCAAGCAACCCAGCCTGTTTTTGTTCCTTTCATTTTTAGGTATCAGCCTGGCTCAGTTGGTAGAGCTCTTGTCTCCATATCAGAAAATGGTGCATTTTCATGAGCTCACACATGAGCTCATAGTCAAAGTGGACATCGTGTGGAAAAATGATTATTTAACAGGCCAGGAAAAATGCATCATAGAAGAGTTATTTAGTGTTTTCCTAACCTAAGGATAGAAAACCCATTAAATCAACCTTATCCTGGTGATTTTTCCTATTGATGAACTGGTCTGCACAAGGTGCTTGTATTTGAAATATGAGGAAGATTCTGCAGTGGAGGCAGTTTCACTATGAACAACATTGATTGCATTATAGATAGAAAAACTGCAAAACATATCTTTCATGCAATATGACCATCCCGATTAATGCTGTGTCTGTGTGGCTCCCAAAACCATTTGAAAGGGAGTTGTTCTGCTGAAGATGTGTATTCTTGCAAGAATAACTAATCAGCAATGAAAGTTAGAGCAGCAAAATGCTCAAATGTTTATATGAAACCTGCCAAAAATGTACGTGGCTCTAAGTCATGCAATCAGAAGCACGCTCATTTAATCCTCTGCTATTATTGTAATCCAAACTCGTAATGACATCCATGTGGTAAAATTGGATACCTCAGTATTCTTTCAAATATAAGGCAATCTCAATTATAAAGCAACATCATGCCCTCCATTTTCCTAGAGTTATTTGGTGTCAAAAATAACATGATAATTATAGAGCAGTCAAAAAAAGTTTAATGTAATTTTGGAACAATATTATGGTTCATTAATATTAACTCAAATAACTGATGACACATTTCCAAATATTGTCTCTCTTTCTAATTTTCTAGCTCTCTAATTTAGATATTTTCTCTCTTCTCTCTATTAGTTACTGATCAGCACTTGCTTTTCTCTCTGTATCAGCCCCTTGAGTCATCCTCCCGACGTGAAAGGTGCTATACAAATGTAATTTTAATACATTTTCTCTGTATAACATTCTCTGTTTAAACACCTATATCTTTGGTACCTTAAAAAGATGCCTTATTATTAATATTATTAAAGCAATCCTATCATCCCATCCTCATCTGGCTCCACACTTTCCCCATACTCCAGATGATTGAGTTCAGGATCCTTGTCCTCACTTTTAAATCCCTCCATCGACCTTCTTAAACCCTACCACCCGGCTCACTCCCTCTGCTCGTCTGGCTCTGGCCTATTTCATGNCCCCCACTCCCTGCTATTATCGTCATTTAAGCTTTCAGTCTATCTGCCCCCAGTCTCTGGAATTCAATCCTTCAGTCCCTTCCCTTACCTCATTCGAAGTCCATCTCTCCTTCTTTCTGCACCTTCAGTCACCCCACAACCACTTGGCTCCCACCCCTTCCATATCCAACCCCCAGCTCAGGTGCAAACCCTCGACTGTCTAGGCCTTGGGATATCCTCCTAATGTGAAGGAGGCTATATAATTGCAATTCATTGTTGTTCTAACACCCTCTGCACCATTATTTGTGTAGTCCAAATAGTTCAATCTATAACTGGATTGAAGAAATGAATAGTTTCCTATGCTTGACTCCTTATCAGGCTTCTTCTTTGCAACAAGAATAGTTAACAATTTTTGTATTTGGTAAATAGCTATAATGCCAAAACATTTCAAATGCTTCATGGTAATTACAGTTTTTAGTGACTATGTATTTGTGGTTGATTGTGCCAGTCAATTTGTGCATTACAAATAGCCAGGATGTGAATGACCATTTTTTTAGGATTGTTGAGTAGCACCCAAGGAGAAACTACCTTCTCTTTCTGAATAGTGTTATGGGATCTTTAATATCTAACTGAACATGCAAACCTCAGTTTAAAATCGGAAGTAAATTCCTCCTCTAACACTGCACTGGAGTGTCAACCTAGACTGTGAGCTCAAGCTCTCGACATGGACTTGAACCGACTTTCTGACTTAGAGGCAAGAATTCTACCAACTGAGCACTACAAATATATTATGGACAAAAATAAGAGTATTTTACAGTTTATTATTAGTGATTATGGTCAGTTTTCAAAGGCTGATTAATGGTTGATTTGTATCTATTTGAATATTTCCTAGAAATTATTTTGGTTTGCAACACACAAGGGCTAAGACATAGTTTGTGAGATTATTTGATGCTTTAAAAGTTATTTTGTCATTAATTTATCATCCTTTGAAGATTTATTAGTGATACGACTAATGAAATTGCATATATTTACACACATAATTTATTCTTAGGCAGTTTTTGCAAGAGTGTGGGCTTTTATGTAGTAGTATATACAGTGTCTATTATATATGCAACAAACTTTCATCCATCATTCAGTCACTAGAGATTAAAAAATAATTTGTCAGTTTTTAAAAATGTAGCAAAACACTGTAGAACTACTGAGATTTGATCAAAGTATTTATTGCTGCTGAATTTCCCCAGTGTTGCCCCAGTGCAATTTTTAAAACTTTTTTTTACAGTTGCGCATTCGTGACCTTGAAAGTACACTGCAAGTGGAAAAGTCTAGCCATGCAGATGCAGTGGCAAATTTGGAGATGATCAAACAACAGTTCAGAGACGTAGAACTGGCATATGAAAGGGAAAAATCAAAAACTCAGGAATCAGCTGATCAGTTGGAGAAGTAAGAATCTCTATATGTGATTGTACCGCTTAGTAGACTGCATAATGCTCTTTTGATTCTGGTGACATCAGACTTGGGATATGCACAATGCTTTCTCTTCTGAGGTGTTGCTCAGCGTGAGATAAAAGTTACTTTAGTTAAATATGCTGCAAAAATCAGATTGAATAAAGACATTGCCATTTTAATAACATATTAGATTGTGGAAATACTGTAGTTTTATGTTACTGCAAATTTTATTTAGCAATGCTGTATTAAAGATTACTAACATCTTGCAATTTTAAAAAAAAAAGATTTCAAAAGGAATATGCAGCAATAAAAATGCAGATGGCAGCAGAGAAAGAAGAAAATAAGAAAATGATTGCTGACCTTTCGAAAAAGCTTCAAATTCATGAGGAAAACTTTGCAAATCTTCGGGAAGAGCTGACTAAAGTAAGGGCAATCATTGATGAATATTGATTTGAACACAATTTTAGCCAAATGAATTAATATAAGGATGAGGACAGTGGTACATTTTCTTGCAAAGTTATGAAATCATGTGTCTGTACTTCAAACAGTTTGTCTCCATTGTAGTCAAACCTTTTGCATACTTGACATTCTCCCTCTTTTCTTTTTATGTCCCCCCCTCCACCCATACACACATACATATATAAGCACAACTTTGCGGAAATGGCACATTCACCTTTCTTATAGTGGGGACAAGTGTGATTATCTTATTTCTTCTGCAGCCTTTAACTCTCGGGTTTGGCACTCTTTGGAGTGGCACTCTGTGACATTAGACTTCAATCACTTGAAATTACTGTATCTCTTTATTTTTGTCTAGGCCCAGAGAGACTGAACTCAGCATCAGGCCTGGGTATTCACATCTTGTCTCTTTTCTACCCCCTAACCCCCCCTCCACATTTGAGAGAAAGATATATTGAGATTATACAGTTTGAGAGGACTATAGTTTGAGAGGACGAGTATTTAATTTCATTTTACATCTTAAAGCTTATTATTCTAGATTTGAAATTGGCTGGAAAATTTTTAATCACGGTTCTGCTATGTTATTGGTAATAAACATGCATTATTCTTGTTATTGAATCAAGTTTTAAAGTTGCTTAATATTTGAATCTGCATAATATTCTTGCTGCCTAGTCAAGCAGAATACTTTGCCTAATTTTGTTGTGGAAGAACAATATTTAACAGAAAATTTTCAGCTCACTCATCTGCACTTGTAGTTAATAATGTTGCTTATACAGGGCAACCCTGTTGTTAAGCATCTCAGCTTTGCTAGAGTAGAATTTTACTTAAAACTTGGGTCTCTTGTGCACCTGTGGTTACCAGAAACCCAGCACACTTGGAATGAACTGGTCAACTTCCTGCACAAGCATCTAGCAAGCCAGCTGTTCAGCTGTAATCACTCTCGCAAGTGTTTTTAGAAAATACCAACATAAAGCATCAGCTATGGGGTCCCAGCAGCAAGTGACTTCACAGCTTTCTTGGCCACATGACACCTTTTTATGTGATCTCAGTCAGCAGGGATCTGAGAGTGGAAAATTCAATACCCAATTTCACTGAAGGTTGAAGATTCAAATGTTCCCGGTTATAATTTGGGCCTGAAAAGGGTGCTGTGTATTAGTGAAATCTTGAGCCCTTGCTGTTGGGAGGATGTAACTGAGCAAGGAGACTGATTCTCAGATGTTAGAGGGTTGTGCTATAGGGAACGACTTCATAAGCTAGTGCTATTCAGCCTCAAATTGACATCTCAGAGGGGACCTTAAAGATAAAAATAATAATCCTTGCATTTGATATAACGCCTTATCACGTCTTCAAGACATCTCAAAGATCAATATAACATGCTAAAAGAAACCTGGAACAGCATAAAAGAGTAGGGCACAGATTCTGGATTTATTGGTTAATCATCTAAGATTCTATTTGACAAAGGTTAATTTATAATAAATAAACTTTGCATTTGATAAAATAACAATAGTAACCCTTGAATTTGATGTTGGCAGGACATTTCAAAGGGCTTCTCAGGATTTATAGTAAAGTGTAGTGACTATATTTTATAGGCTAACAAGGCAATATTCCCAACAGCCGTGAAGTGAATGACTAATTGTATGTAAAGGATTGTTGACAAGGACACTGGAAGAAACTCCCTTTGCAAACACAAACATAATGCCATGATATTCTTTTAATATTATAATATTAAGAGGGTAGTCAGGGAAGATGTTAAAACACAAAGGGAATCTAATCGGGTTGAGAAAGGGAATGAACAGAAGATAGCGAATATATTAAATGACAACTACTTACAGTTTTTTTTTAACTGAAGATGACGGATGAACTGTACCCCAGGGTACTTTGGGAGACAAGGCAGAAATTTGTATAGCCATGACAGAATTATAAGCGAGTCAGTCAACATTGGTGAGATTCCAATAGCCTGAAAACAGCCAAACAGAATTTAAGAGAGTGACAAACTATACCTGGGAATTATAGAGCTTGGCAACCTGACCACAGTTATTGAGAAAATGATGGAGTCAATTATCAGCTGGGAAATAGATGGTAGTTTTATAATTTTTTTTAATAAATTGATAGTCAACATGAGTGCAGAAGTGATGAATCTTGTCTGACCAATCTCATTGACATTTTTGAGGAGGTGACGTCCCAAATTGAATGTAGCAAGCGATGTGTATCTGGACTTTCAAAAGGCATTTGACAAAATGTCATATGAAATACTTCTTCACAAACCAATGTTTCTGAGTATCAAGGTCAAGAATCAAATGCAAGAATTATTATTATATTATTATAAGACATGGACATGGTATTTGGCTGAAGTGAAGGAAGCAGAGGGTCGCTGTTAGGGAAGCTTGGTCAAAATAGTGAAGGGATTAAGCGGATCCTCAGGGGTCTGTACTCCATCCCACATTCCCTTCGCCTCGGTCCCTCACTTGCCTCCTTCAAGCCAGGCCTCAAGACCCTTCTCTTCGACCGTGCCTTCGGCCAGCCTCCTACCCTCTCTGCCCTCCACCCTCCCTGATTCCAACCCTCTCCCCACCCCGCTCGGGTCCTAATCCCTGATTGTTCAGTGCTTTGGACATCCTCCCGACTTGAAAGGCGCTTTGCAAATGTAATATTGTATTATGCTATTTTATTTTGATCAGAGTTGTGCTATCAGAAATAATTTTTCAAATTAAAAGTTAATATTTATTGGTGACTGAAACAACAAATTTTATTTTCTGTTAATTTACGTAATTGAATTTTCTGTGTATTCTCATGTATTTGCTTGCTGCTGATTTACTGCTTCCTTCCTCTACATCTCTTTCAGTAATGTTTTAATCTGCAAATGCTGTTTATACCTATGTATAAGTGCGTTTATGGCAGTAATTTTTTATTTATTTATACAAGGCAAAGAAATGCCAGGCTTTCCTTGAAGAGACATATGGGGGCAGCATGAGAGAGCTAGAACTCCTTTTGGACAATTTTGCTGTGTCAGGCCAATGGACATCAGGTTAGTTGAAGGTATAAAATGACAGATGCAGCTGTCAGTGTTCCAAGAGCCACTGGATTGTGGGAATTCTGCAGATGCCTCTGTAATCCCTTTTCTCAACATGCTCTGATTTGATGACAAGATAAGAGTGGTCTTCGCAGCAGTACAGTGGCCAAACAGGCTGAGAAAAGGTGATAGAATGTGGGCCTGATGTTGGTGGGCCAGAGCTTGATTTACAAGTGCCAGGGTCAGCTTGACAGGCTCACTTGCTGGCTATGAATCCAGCAGGGACAGAGGCCCTCACAGGCTTTGGAGTAAAATACCTGGAAAGGGACCAGATGTTTTTAGTTTATTTGAGCCAAAATGCTATAGCGTCTTGAACAACTTGATAGTTGGCAGCTCAGGAAGGTTATTCAGGACAATAATGAGTGTTTAATCTTAACTCTTCAAAAAAACCAGTTAAAAGTGATTGTTTTATAGGAGGCAATAAAGCTCTCTGCCACAATCGTATAAATGTGATACAACAACATTTTTTCTTCTCACTCTGGTTGTAAATCAAACTCGCTTTTTTTAAGTGAATTTCTTTAATTTTGGAAATAAAGTTAAGGGTTTTGTTCAAACCTTTATGCCTTTAAAGAACCCTTTTTAAAATACATTACTGTGATTGAAAGCAATGCAACCTAATGGTATAATGATTTGACATATGGTAATAAAGAATTTCAGAAAGCTTTTGTAATTGAGTCTGATCAAGGTTAATGAGACTTTATTTGCATAGCAGACTAAATCAGCTGGGATTTCTTCACGCTTTATATGAAGCTTTGAACTTTTGATAAGTTAAAAATAAAGGTGGCAAGGAAACCTTTGAATACAGAGAACAACATTCTGAATTGGACAAATGTTGTCCTTTGGTCACATGCGCTGAGAGTTTGACCATATCTGCATTTTTGTGTTACAGCAGTTCACATACACCAAGATGCATTCACTTGTAAAATACAGAATATTGCGGGTAATTCTTTTTTTTAAAAATTGCAAACTTGCAAACTCACAGCACAAGGTGTTTGGTCTCCTCCATCTCCACTCCATTTGGAGGCTAGATGTTGAGATGTGATGTGCTGTCAGCTAACTTGGCTCCCAGCACTCCCTGCTGCTTGTTCCTTAGCCTTAAAAATGCAGTGAAGATGAAGTCCCTGGCTGGTAAGTCAGATATTTCAAGGTGAAGTTAAAAGATTTTTAAAACAATTACATTTAGTGGCTTATTTTACTGACAAATACACAAATCTAATAGGAATCTAAGGCAGTCTTCTGGAATATTCCTTTATACCCAGTTTCCTATTTTTATTGTAAGTAAATTGATCCTTTAAGATTTTTTTTGCTAAATGAATGCCCTCTGTTTTGTTAAATTCTAGTATATTCTGATTTGTTTAATCCAGCTGTTTAATAGAGTATGTATGTTTACACTGCATCAGTTCCTTATCAGTTCAGACCAGCCACACAAGTAAAGGGGCACTTGAAATGCTGGTACTATGTGCTCTACTAAATGTCTATAACTAGTCCTGACCCTAACAATGATGAACCTCTTGGAAAGAATGTTGATTTTTAGCCTATCTTCTAGGATTTCATTCTAGCAAAGAGATTATAAACGCTATTTAAGGAAACGACTCTGTGTAACATAGATTAATTTATGTAAACAAAGGGTCTTTTACCAGACTTCCAAAAAATATTGCTTCTATTTGTTTAATATTCTACAAACATAATTGAAGCAAATAAAATGACTTGTATCTTTCTACATGCTTGTGTTTCTTAAAAGTCTCCATGAAAGGGCTCCTACTGTCTAAGCATGTATGTGCTAGTTTTGGGACATATTAACAAAAGGGCAGTTGCAGTTATCTTTGGACCACTGTTGTATTGAATTCCCACAACCCTAATGAGAAGACCTGTAGAAGTCCTCAACTTCTCAATATGGGACTCTCCTCAATGTATCTACTTAATAAGTTAGATGGTTTATGGTATTTTTGTTAAACTTGACAAACAACATCAGGCTCTTATTGAAGCCGCCACAGAATTGGCACTTGTGTCTGCATGTAGTTTAGCATTAGAATTGGAAAGTATTAATATAAGGCTGGACATGTTCACAATGAACTGTTTCTGCTGCATTTACTAGAAGCTACATTTCAACTGTGAGCCGAGGCAGCAATGACAAATGGGGGACTATGTTTGACCATCTTATAAAACATCTATAGTAGTTTTTTTATTTTACATTACTTTATTTCTATGACTAACATCCTGGTGTTTTCTTGTGTTTTTTCACTGCTTAGAGAAGAATTCCAAACATCTTTGTGGTAAGGTAATAGTGTCCAGAATAATGAAATAGCTGCTTCTTGTATTGAAAAACACCCTACAGGGAAAATATGTGGAGCTCTGCTCCTTTTAAGAATTTTGCTTTTTACAATAGCTGTCTTGGTTATCGAGTCTTCTCCTTGTACGTTCCCAATCAGTTCTTTTTCTGCCATAAACAACCATTATGAGTGAATGAAACCTTTCCATCAGTTAATAGCTGCTGGTTTTAAGATCCGCAAAAGTCCTTGTCAGTTTCTGACAACTGTGACCTTTGTCTACATTGCCTACTGGCATTGCATGACTTCAGAACTGTGAAGCCAATTTGAAGCTCATCATCAGGTGTGAACGTTTGATATGCTGGAAGGCAGTATTCCAAGCCATAAGTGGAAGACACACTGAAAACCTATAAAAAGCACCAACAAAGTCTAAAGGCATTCCCAGGCAAAGCCACTAAAGTGTTTTGTTGAACAGACAAAATTCTTTTGTTTATGGCGCAAATTCAAAAAAGAAAGGCAAGAGGGACCCAGCGTGAAAAAACTCCAGCTGTTGCCTCCTGCACTTTTGTGGTGACTCACTGCACTGCAGCCTAGGATCTGTAAGCTTCCCAGTGGTGGACTGCATTGCACAATTTGCAGGTGAATAGTGTCTCAGATGGCGAGCTGAAGGAGACATAGAAGGTTATACTGTCAATTTGGTGGGTCCCGCGCCAAGATGCATGGGAAGGATGTTCTGGATTCTATTAGAAAGTGCCAATAGTAGTGAAGATGATATCCAAGGCAGGGTATCTCTGCTTATAGTTTATGATAATGCAACTTTTTATACAATAGAATTTGATTTTATTCTAAAATTTGAGTATTCCTTCACCCTCCAGGAAATTTCATGATGAATTTGCTGTGCCTAATAATTCAGTGGAAATCAGTGTTATGCTTATATTATAATTAGTACCTTTAGCAGTTCATAAAGTAAATTATTCAGAGACAAAGATCTGCTCCCCCCAAATTGGTTATATGCAGGAGGAAGATTGAATTGGTTATTTTCTGCTTATGGACATTCCCCTTTTTCCCCAGTTCTGCATCGACTTAAAGGGTCAGAAATTGCGTGCTGCTCCTCAAAGCCTCCACTATTGAAATAGGGATTTCAAAATACCACCACCTAAAAAACCTATAAACACTTTCAGATAAGGGCATGAGCTCCGTTGTCAAGATCATACTACCAATCTATTGGAGCGTGACATTTCAGCCAGTATAACTTACTTGGTTACTGCTTTCTTGGGCCCTGTTGCCGACCTCCCTAAATGTACTTGTAATGGCAAAGGCTTGTAATGTAAGTTGCTGAACACCCAGTGATTTTTCGGTTCACTTACGGTAAATCTATGTACCTGTCTCTCCAACCCGCTTTCTCCCCATTCCACCAACTGCCACCTTCCCTCGGCTAGCTTCATCCTCCTGCTCGTTACTCGTTCCCTCCGCCCCACCATCTGCGGCTGAGCTTTCTGCCACTACGACCTGAAACTTTGGAACTCTCTCCCGCAATCTCTGAACCTTGCCCCCTCCTTCCCTTTTTTCAGATCACACTTAAAGCCCTTCCTCTTCAACTGTGCCTACCGTCACCTTCCCCTTTCTCCCGGCTTGGCGTCAAGCTCCGCCAATGTTAAACGCTTTAACGCGCTATATGAATGCAAGTTGTTTATTCGGTGCTTAATATCAGTTTGCAGTTTGAATGTTGTACCAAATAGCTTATTTGAGACTCCTTTCAGATGGAGATTTCTGATGACCTTAAAAATCCTCAGACATTTACACATTCTTATTTTAGTCCGAAGGTTAGTAAATGTCATGCTTTGGCATTTATATCTGGCAGTCAAAAGACTGTATCATTATTTTTACCCAAGTGAGTTTAATTTGTCTCAGGAAATAATGCTGCTAACATTTTGCCTGCCACCGCATACTTATTTTGTTAACCTTCAGCCTTCCATTTAGGGAAATAGTGTTTAACCTCTTGAACTCCCTGCCTCCTTCCCTCCACCTCTAACGTTTTATTTAATTGCCAACTCAAAACCTAAACCTCTTTGACTACTTTATATGAAGATTTGCAAGTTGTTTATTCCTCTTTCTAAGCAATGACTTCATTCGATGTCAAATTCCTTTAACAGTTGTGTAATTAGTAAATTAGGTTATGGATTGCCTCTTATTATTTCTAGTTGATCAGGAGACAGAGCTAGAGCTCATTCTAAAAGACTTATCTTCTTTCATCTCTTGAACTTTGCTTTCATGCATCTCTCTCTCCAGCATCTTGGGACATCCTCCCAATGTGAAAGGCGCTATGCAAATGTAATTTTGTATTGTATTGCATCTCAGCCCTCCACAGCAAAAACCCTCATTCATGTTTTTGCCACTTAGAGGCTAGATTTCTCCAGCGTTCTCCTTGATAGCCTCTGCTGGCTTTCCCATCTGCACCCAGCATAACCTCCAACTCACCCAAACGTTGCAGCTTATTATCCTCGCATGCATGTATTGAACAAGCAAGCATGAGCACGTTTTCACTTCTTCTGTGTGAGTCTTTCGTCATTATGGTACACTCTGGAACAAACTCCCCAAATCCTATCAGAATTTGTCTTTCCCTCCATGCTTTCAAAGCCCTCTTTAAAAAAATTATTGCTTTGACATTTGGTCAACACTTTGTTAATCTCCCTTTTTTCCTTTTTCTGTGATCCTCATTTTTTTTGTAAAGTATCTTGAGAAGTTTAACCTCACCAATATCACCTGCTCTCTTTTTGACTTGGTGCATCTTGGAACATGTTTTGCATATATTTTTAAACTTGATAAACTTTCACATTTATCTGTGCAAACTCTTTTGGTTAGAAACTCAAATATTATTAGAGCGGAAGTTGAGGAAGTATAACTTACTATTCTCCTTCAAATTCTTAAAATGATAATAGTTTTAAGTTTTTTCCCATATAATCTTTAATTGTTCAATTGCCATATTGTTTCAAATATAAGGTGACTTCAATTATAAGGCACAGTACCCCGCCCCTCTCTAATTTTCAGTTATATTTCAGAAAAAAAGGAAAATGTGTAGCAGAGTAGACACAGAGCAGTCCAAAACACATTTTGCATAATATTACAGTACATTAGAATTATCCTGAAAAATTCTAATATTTAAAATGTTTTAATACAGCTGGGAATTTAGAATATTCTCCATAGCTGTCATGCAATTATATTGTACTATCCCGTTCTTTCTCTGTATTTTTTTCTCTCTCACTTTCTCAGGTTCTTTTCTCTTGCTCGATCTTCTAACTTTCTGACTCTTCCGCTCTCTCTTCCGCTATCATTCTCTCTTTACCCTCTTCCACAATCTTTGTAACTTTTCACTCTTAATAAAAATGTAGCTGTGTGCTACTGGCAAATAAATTCAGCTCCAAGCATGTGTGAAAATTGGGAAATTGAGCGCATGCAATGTTACTAGACCTCTGTGTGGGGAATTGTGTGCCTATATGTAACCTCTCCTCCAATTTTGCAATTCTCAGCATGTGTGCAACTGGATTTTGTTTTGCTGGAATTTTGCAGCATTATACAGTAGTGGTTAGTTCGCAAAAAAAGATAAGTAGCAATTCTGAAACTTAATTTAGAAGAAAAAAGCTCACCTTATATTCTGAACATTATGGTATGTGTTTAGACTGAACTAATTTAAAGAATTAGGATGACAAATCTCATCGGGGTTTGTTTCTACCTTCATGTTATCGGAGTGAAAAACGATAATCACTATTAGATGTAAAACCAATACTACTTAGGTTCTCCTTATTCTAGGTTCTGTTTTTGTTGCAACTAGACCTCAGATATACCTATAAAATTTGAATACTATGGGAACTTATTACTGGGTCTTAGTGTGTTTTAATTTGCTATGTATTTTTTAAAAAAATGATATAGTTCTCTGCAATTTTTTAATTCAAGCACAACTTGTACAAAAAGTACTTATCTATTTAGGACATTTTACGTATTCAACAGGGGATGAATTGCAGATATGTATAAAGTTACAGATTAATGTACAGTCAATATCTCTGCTATGGGTACACTTATAAGTATAAAAACAGTCAGAATTAAGTATGAATGATTAAAGAGAGGAAATGAATACATTGGTTGATTATCAGATTGATTAATGGCAGAAGTGGCCATTCAAAATGGTTGTGTGCTTACTGTAGTTTATTTTACCTTCAGTTCATTAGAAATGCTGACCTCATTAAGCATTGAATATCTCTGTTACTGGAAGAATTCAATAAATGCACTGTAAAGATTCCAGATTGATTCATCTTGCAAGTTGTTGATGAGAAATGTTGTAGATATACCTATTTTAATGCTGAGGTATCCATTTGTGGAATTATAATACAATATTTAAAAGCTTTACTTTTCTCTTTTTTTACTTCAGGCAATTGCAAGGACAAAGAAAAACCCTTAAGCCCCTCTGTCGTCCTTGAGAATTTGAGACATACCTTGACAGATTACCAGAGCAGGCTAGGAGACGCATCTAATGAGGTAACACTTGCACTGTTTGGCGCCTCAGATACAGCCCTTGGCCTGCAGCAGTATGTGTAACCCGCTCATTACAAAGGTCATAGGAGATTGCAGTGACCACAGGGAATCTAGGATTGACAGCTTTGCAGATACCTACAGTGTCTGAGGAAACAACATAAAATGTGGCTGCAGTGTTTAATCCAAAAAAAGCAATCCTCACTGCAGGGTTATACCATTCATTTGGAGTAGACTTTAGAACATTGTTAAAATAACTTACAAGATATGTAAATATGACTTTTTTTAACCGTGCTTTATGGAATACAATGAAAATCATTTGATCCTTCAACTCTCATTGCTCGTTTGCTTGACTTCGTACATAGGACTTTGGCTATTTCTTTCAGAACAGTGAACTTATTATCTGATTATTTATAAAAATAATTTACGTTTTCTGAAAACCCTTATCACATTGAACCATCTCACAGCTCTTTACAATAATCACTGTCAAGAGTAGTGATGTATTTCTGTTGCTTTTTGTGATGGTCTTTGCTGCACTGTAAAAGGCATTTATACAGCTTGTGTGCAAAAAATCCCACTGTTTCCTGGAGTCTTGTTTATCAACCGGCGATTACACTTGTATGCACATTTGAAAGATCTATATTCTCCATTATAAGAGTTTTGAAGGACATTGAAATAAACTGGGAGAAATAATTATATTTTTAACAGCATGAAGACCTTTTGAACTGTGTGCATGAGGATTATGAAGTAGTAAAGTGAATACTTTATGAAAACTCTGAGGCCCATTGCAAGAGGCTTCAAAGTAACTTGGAACATGTTACCTGTGGTGAATTGTTACTAGTGAAGATAAATGTCACATGATCCCCAGCAGCGTGGAGGGGTTGACACAGCAGGCTTTGGCTCTGAAATGTTCTGAGTTGTGAAACAGTGCCAGAGATAGCAGAGGGGAGACTGAGAGGGTGGTTTCAGAGAAAGCAAAAGGGAATAGGTTGACAGAAAGAAGAATGAACTGTCAGAGAAAATAAATCCAAGCTGTGGATTCTAACTGATGACCTGCCACAAGTCACCCTGATCCCACGGCATGTGACTGACCCCATAGTTGTGTCACAATGTGTCAGGAATTGCTCCACACCATAGCGGCATTAAAAGACTATACCCAGTGCACTGGTGTCAGCTTTTTTTAAAAAAAGGTAATTTCTGCACTATTATCATAGAATTAATTGCAGAGATGTCAACAATGGGTTTCATGACTTAAGAAATGTGAGATTTTCTGCCTTTATTGTGACTTGTTTACATCAATCAGAAAACAAAATAATTATTCTAACCTAGATTTTGTATTTTATTTTACTTTGTCTCCCTTCATGGTACTTCTTGTTGACTTCAGTACTATTTTCTGACTTGCAAAACTTTGGTTAATTCTTTCAGTGTTTAGTTTTAATCTAGCTAGATTTCTTTACTCGGCGAGATTGATTTAGTCAACAATCATCCACTGTAATTGGTTATTCATCTCATGACTATTTTTTGGAACCTTGAAGGTGTAAATGTTTGCCTATAAGAACAGTCATTACAGTGGCAGTAAATATGTACAAAGTGTTTTGAGAGATAAGGTGCAATAAATATGCAAGTTCTAAGTTATTTTTCTATTACTGATAAAGTTATACTGTAGCAATAACATCATTTTATTGAGTATTATGGTTATTAATCTTAAATGGCTCACTTTGAAGGAAGGGATGGATTTGTATGAAAATGGCCAGTTCAGTAGTCATTATCTGCCCAAATTAAATATTACTATTTCTGCTATCGATCCAAGTGCTATATTTTTAATTTATTGCTTTGAAACTATCGCTGTTGGCAGTATTTAAAGTATTCCAGCAGTTTGCGGTAGGTGGGTTTCTCACACTGCAGCTTTGGATGAATTGCTTATATGCACTGCTTAGGTCTGGGGAGCATTGGTGCATCACCGGGGTTATACAACCCACAGCAGCCCAGGTGTAAGTCTCTATGGACGAAGCATATGCCTTGCTCTCACCAGTTTTCAGACCACAAAGTGCCATTTCTGGTTCTTGCAAATACCTGTGTAGACTCACAATGTTGGTGTCACTTTGGCTTCTAACTTGCACAGCTTAATCCCTGAGATCTCTGACCTTGGACACACACTTTCCTCTACTTCCCAATTGTAACTTTCATTGTTTCTTCCAGCATTAATTTTGTGTAGTCTAATTGATCACTCAACACAAGGCATTGTGACTTTTAGTTCAGATCAGATACTTTGTCTAATACTCTGCTTGATAATCTGTTATTTCTTAAAGATATAGAATTGTAGACTAAATGCAGGTGTTGCTGCACAGAAGAATAAATCATGGTCTCTTTAAAGGTTCTTTTCTATTGTTTGGTACAATCCATTTATTTAACTATTTAAGTTTACCAGCAGTAGGAATTGGGTGTTTATGGGATCTTATTAAAGGATCTTGACAGCACTCAAAGTGAGTTCACATCTAGAATCACATTACCTGTATTATCAGTGATATCCTCCCAAGAGCACTAAGAATTCAACACTTTTCTACCCATTCTCCCCAACACATATATCTAACTAGCTAATGGGTTGGTAGAAATTTATTTCAGGAAACCTCCAAGCTTGATCAATGTGAATTCACCCACAACAGTGATAACATTTAACAATTTGTCTTGATCATTTCAATATAAATTTCTGATGAAGAAATACCATTCAAATGCAATTTTAAAATCTTGTAAAACAAAGACTGAATGTTGGTTTATCTCCTCTTTGAATAACAGTCATTGTGTGATGTTTGCAATCTCTGGATTCCAAAGTGCAAAACGTTCAACTTCAATTACATTTTCTGTACCATATCTATTGACATAAGATTTTTTTAATTTTAAAATGGCAACAACAGTGTGGGTCAAGTTAGAGAAATGTGTAATTTGAGTCATCAACCATAGTTACATATGTCACCTGTGGAAAAATACAAGCATTTTGAGATTGGAATATGTAGTTAATAAGCATGAAATGCTGTGGTCACAGATTGACAGAATGAAAAAGCAGAATGAGTGAGGTTGTTCTCACAAATTTATTTTTCCAGTAAACTCAAAAATAATCATTCTTTGCTTAAATTATTCCTTTGTTTAAACTTCTTGACTTTGTACATATTCTTATTTTTTTATTTTTTTTTCTAAGTGCTCTTTTTTTGAACTGTGAGAAATTTTAACTTAATATTGTTAGATTGATGGATTTTATTTTCAAAAGCTACCAATAAGTAATTCCTTTTCTGTTAGCTTTGTTGGACTCTGTGCAACCACTTTGGGGTTTCTGACTGCAAAACTACTTCCCAGGCCTGCTTTTCCCATGTTGTTTGCAAGTACCTTTTCCTGCATAGCTTATTCCCCGATGCCACTTCAGTTCTGCTTTCTTGCTTCAGATCCGCTTGATCTCGCCTGACCTCTTTTGTACTTACCTTTCTCCCATTCAATTAATGTTCACTGTACTGCTTTTATTTGCAAGTTACACAGACAATTCAAAAAAAAAGGTTATGCCATTGCATTTCCTGAATGACATTGCCCTTTTTTGAATTGTTACAAGTGCATACTGTGGAATTGAGATAAACTAGAAAAACTGTCTATTTAGATGGAAACTAACACTGAAGGGAAAATATTCCATCCAAACATACGAGAGGCCATTAAAAAGGTCCCTTTAGGGGGAAATGGAGCCTCTGACACAGAAAGAACAAAAAAAGGCACACAGAAGGCAGTAGGATCAAGGAGGGAATTAAACCAACACAAAATACCTGGTTTACAGTGACGGTCAGAGATCAGAGCAGATCTGATGTCTCAATCTGATCCCTGATCACCAGCATGAAGTCTGCGCTCTTAATACCCTATTTAAACAGCAAATAGGAGGCAAACGATTTGGCTCATTTTTACTACATGTAATAATGTATTTGCAGAGAAGCTGAGGAGTAAGTGCTTTTTTTTTAACTTTGTTTATGTGATGAAAGTCAAAATGTGCAGTGTATGTGTGTTCGTGTGCAATGCATGGCACATATGCACTTTAGTTAGGAAATATAAATGTTTTGCCTGTTTTAAACCCTTTAGTTCAGGATCTTTATCACTGGGTAAGCTGTAAAACTACTTCAGTGAGTGGGAGTTTTTGAAACTGTTGGGCTGCAAACAATCAACAAAACATAGTCAATTCAATTTACAGTATATTCTGTGAGGCTCTTGATGTTTCTTCAAATCTGATCCCAAATTGATCCTGATGTAAAGGAAATCCATTTCTGGGATAAACTTCTAGCTGCAACAATTTCAAAATTGTAGAAAAATCACAGAATGTGTTTAGGAATTTAGGCATGTGAACGGCTAGTTGTCTCAACAAACACACTTTCTTTAAAATTTCAACACTATTTTGTTAAACAATTTGTATAACTGTTGTTAGATTTGACTACAGATTGAAGAACATAACGAGTTGAAAGAGACAAGGTTATTTGGTGCATTAATCCATTCTGCACAAAAAAGTAGAAATCTTAAAAAAAACACAAAAGGCAAAATCTGCTGAGTAATAGTGAATCTGACGATGAAAATCATGAAATGATTTTTGAAATGACTACACCTAGTGACGAGGAAATCCATCCAGCAATGCTGTGTAGATGAATGTTTCTTTTCTGAGTTTTTATTGATTTTGTAAATAGCAAAGTGTATTTTGCATGACCCTATCCAATGAAACTGATATGTACTGTATTTTTAAATACATATTGCTTTAATAGGCTAAGCGTATCATTTTAACTTCCATTTCAGCTTTACAAAACAAAGCAGTTGGCTGAGACGATGAGCAAAGAATGTGAGACCTACAAAGAGTTGGTTTGGTCACAAAAGTCAAGTCTTGAGGTAGGAACTTAAGTATTCAAATGATTTGGAAAATAACAAACTAGTGTATTGACATATGGATTGCTATTGGGAACAGGTAGACAGGACCTTGGATTAACATCTGAAAGGTACCTCCAACAACGCAGCACATTGGGAAACCTCATAAACAGTTTATCCATTTTCCATTCATGAACACCACTTTCCAAGTACTTCATTTCTATAGCATTAATCAGAATATTTTTTGGGGGTTTTCAAACCATTTGCCCAATACTGGAGCTGAGTAAGTAAATCATGTTCGATAATTTAGTCAGGTGGTAGTTTATTCTGGCATCAGCCTGGCTCAGTTACTAGCACTTTCACCTCTGAGTCAGAAGACTATGGATTCAAGCACCATTTTGGCACTTTGAACTCACATAATCTCACTCCCAAGTTGTAGTTTGCTGTGTTGTTAGAGGTGCCCTTCAGATGTTAATCTGAGGTTTTGTCTGCATGTTCAGGTGAACGCTAAAGATCCGGTGATATTATTTGAAAGAGTTTTTCCTAGTGCCCTAGCCAACAAGTCACCAGATAACATTTATCATTCACTTCATGGTAATTTCTGGGACATTGCCATTCGCAAATTGTGCTGCATTTGCCAACAAATACACACTCAGACCATTTTACAGTACTGTGAAGTGGTTTGAATAATCTTCCTCATGTGAAAGGCATTATATCAAATGCAGGGATTTTTTTTTCATCCTCACTAAAATGTGATGTATCTGGAGGTGATTTACAAAATTGTGGTTTGGGGTTATCTAGAATTTGACAAAAAGGATTTCCAAACAAAAAGCATTTCTTCTGTTTGAAAACTAAGGACTACCAATCTCGAATGTTAGATGTTATTTTTTTTCTTGGTAGAGAAAAAAACATTTTCTTCTCATAGTCTTTCTGTTTTTAGTGATCCCCAATGATATATCAGTAGTTCTCCGAATATTCCAGCAATAAGCAATGTCAATCCAATTTCAGTTCTCTACAGAGTCCCTCCTGTCTCATCTGAAAGGTAAAACTCCATCCAGATCCAACAGATTTTTTGTTAACTGTCTAGCACTTGAGAGGGACAAACTTTGTTATAGACACTGTCTATTGAAAGGCCTTTACAACTAAAACCAAAAAAGGTTTGTCCCTTGATATGCAGCTTGGCTGATTGAACCTTTTATCATACGAGATTGCTCACATTTTGGATTAGTCTCAGCATCTGGTGTTTTGGATTAAAACCAAGTTCTGTCAGTTTACATATTGCTGCTATTTTATGGTTCTTCACAGGACATTTCTCCTGGAGCTGTTCCTTTCTCATTTTCATGAAAGGGCTTAGCAATCAAACCCTTCTTGTATGTCTCCAACTCCACCAATGGGACTTAACTATAGTTGTTTGTAAGCTTACGTCTCCTCGATTTAAATTAATGTATTCCAGTGAACTGAAACTCTCTTGATAGCTTTGGTTTCTGCCAGAAGACTTATTGAGCTGGTGCTGGTAAGTTGAATATTCTTATTCAATTGGCATAATGACAGAGCTGCCTTCAGGGACCATTCTAACTTTCTACCCAAGGTGGTGTCCCAATTTTATTTGCATCAAGAAATCAGCCCTCCATTCGTTATGTCATCCTCCGCATAGTTCTGAGTTAGAGCACCAATTATATTTTGACAATGCTATGAAATCTTTGACTTATCACACAACTAGAACAAATTTTATTTGTAACGCAGGTCACTTCCAGGAGTTGAAAATCTAGTTAGATTAAAGGCGGTTTCATTGGATTGATGTGTGAATCTTGGACTAACTTTTTAAGAAGTTACCATACATATAACTGCAAAGTTGCTAATTGGGCCAATCCATATGTTTCCACTAAACACACTGAGAAAGATCTTGATTTTGGCAGATACAGGATAAATGCATCTGACTTTAATATCCTTTTACATTCCTTCTGCATGTTTGTTTGTCTGCTTCGTATATTGGAAACAATAAGTTCTAACCATTTGGGTGACTTGTTTGGAGGAATTAGAAAACTTGGTAGCGTACAACAACAACAACAATAACTTGGATTTATATAGCGTCCTCCACGCCGGACGGCGTCTCAGAGTGCTTTATAGTAACGGATCCCGGGACCAAGCCAGGTGGAGGGGGAGGAAGGTGACCAAAGGCGCGGTCGAAAAGGAAGGTCTTCAGCAGAGACCTGAAAATAGAAAGAGAGGAAGTGAGGCGAAGGGAGTGAGGAAGGGAGTTCCAGAGCCTTGGGGCATAGCGGCTGAAGGCACGGCCGCCGATGGTGGAGTGGAGGATTCAGGGGACAAGGAGGAGGCCAGACCCGGAGGAACGAAGGCAGCGGGCACTGTTTTGAGGCGAGAGGAGGTCAGAGAGGTCGGGGGGTGCAGAGGAGTGGAGGGATTTGAAGACAAGGGTGAGGATCTTGAAGTCGATCCTCTCTGGGACAGGCAACCAGTGTGGTCTGGCAAAGGCTGGGGTAATCGGAGAGCGGAGTTTCGTGCGGGTGAGAATGCGGGCGGCAGAGTTTTTTATAATCTGGATTTTATGGATGGTAGTGGAGGGGAGGCCGGCGAGGAGGGCATTTGAATAGTCCAGCAGAGAGGTGACAAAATGCATGGACCAGGGTTTCAGCGGCTTTTGGAGTGAGGTATTGGCGGAGACAGGCGATGCGTCGGAGGTGGAAGAAAGCGGTGCTGGTGAGGGACCGGATGTGGGGGAGGAAGGATAGTTGGGGGTCGAACTTGACGCCTAGGTTCCATATGGGTTCGGAGAGTTTTAGGGGAAGGTCGGGTAGGTGGAGGAGGTGAGAAACGTGAGATTTTAGACGTTGACGAGAGCCAAAGAGTATGGCTTCTGTCTTGTCAACGTTCAGCTGAATGAAATTTGTGCTCATCCAGCCCCTGAGATCTGACAGGTAGCCTGACAGAACATCAGGGGACTGGGGGTCGCAATGAGAGGTGGAAAAATAGAGTTGGGTGTCGTCCGCATACATGTGGAAATGTACCTCATGTCTGCGGATGACATCCCCAAGAGGGAGCATGCAGATCAGAAAGAGAAGGGGCCAAGGATGATGTTAACCGGGTGAGAGCGGGAGGAGAAGCCATTTTTGCAGATGTACTGCTGGCGGTTTGTGAGGTAGGCCTCGAACCAGGCGAGTGCGGTCCCACTGAGGTGGATGATGGAGGAAAGGCGGTGGAGGAGGATGGTGTGATCGACTGTGTCAAACGCAGTTGAGATGTCCAGGAGGACAAGGAGGCAGAGGGAGCCCTGGTCACATATAGTGAGGATGTCGTTTGTGACTTTCACAAGCGCAGTCTCTGTACTGGGGGCAGAGCGGAAACCGGACTGGAGGGGTTTAAAGAGGGAGTGGGAGGAGAGGTGTGCGCGAAGTAGATTGGCAACAATGTGTTCTAGGACTTGTGCAAGGAAGGCAGATTAGAAATAGGGTGGTAATGGCTGGGGTTTGAGGGATCTAGGGAAGGCTTTTTGAGGAGGGGAGTGATGACAGCAGTTTTGAGGGGGGCAGGGACTGATCCGGAAGAGAGGGACTGGTTGATGACGTCAGCCAGTAGTGGGCAGAGGAGGAGGAACTGGGTGACCAGAAAGTTGGTGGGGAGGGGATCGAGGCAGCAGATGGTGGGTTTCATAGAGCTAATGACAGGTGAGAGGGAGGAGGGAGAGATGGGGAGGAAGGAATGTAGAATGGGGGTGTTCGTAGGAGCAGATGATGGGGAGGGTGAGGGGGACAGAGAGGGCGTGGTGGTGGGTGACAAGGGACAGGTGGATGAGGCTGCCTGGCGGATGTTAAGTATTTTAGAAGAGAAGTACATGACCTCCTCACACTTGGCATTTGATATGAAGATTGAGGAGGCCTGAGGGAGGGCACGGAGGAGGTAGTGGGTGGTGGAAAAAGGATTTTAGGGTTGTGTTTAGCCTCCAAGATGATGTTGAAGTAGAAGGCCGTTTTTGCACGTGTCAAAGAACGGCGGTAGCTGTGGAGATGCTCAGGCCAGTTTTCCGCCATCTGCGCTCGAGCAAATGGGTTTGGGGTTTTTTGGAGGTGATTTTTTAGCGTAAGGGGAAGGAACTTAAGTAAAATACACAGTTGGAATATTATTAAATATGATTTTCAGTGCAAAACCTAAGTAAGATGGTTTAATTGGTAGCACTCTGATCTCTGTCAGAAAATTGTGGGTTAAAGCCACAAGCTATGACTTTGAGCTCATAGCATAGGCTGACACTCCAATGTGGTGCTGGGGAAGTCTTTCATTGGGAGAGGTCTGTCCTTCTAATTAAACATTAACTTGAGGTCCTGTCTGCCTGTTCAGATGGATGTTAAAGATCTCATGGCAATGCACTAAAACCCTGGCTAGCCAGACCTGCATTGTAATTGTTTGAATCCCTGAGCAGAAGATAGCTATTTTCTGCGCATTCTAGGAGTAGTTAGGGGTCTACAAAGAAATTTAAAAAAAAATTGGCCCCAGGCCCAGTAAGCTATGTCCAAATTCCGGATACCCGGAGTCCAGTAAGGCGGGGGTTTACTGTATTTGAAAAGAGAAGGGTGTGTCCCTGGAGTCCTGGCCAATAATCCCCAATCTAATTTCTGCAATATGAGGCTTAGTAATTCTTCAAATGCAGTCCCCCCAATGTCATTAACTTTCAATTAAACATTTCTTTTAGAAACACAAATTTTAATTATAATTCTCTTGAAATGTCCACTTTTTAGTAGTGGTTCTATTAGTGAGACTACCTAATAATTTTGATACATTACATTAAGTGTACTTTCTTAGTCTAGATGCTGAGATCACAAAATTTGAATTAATGGAATTTAAACCCTTCTTCTATAGAAATTTCAGGAAGACCTGGCAGCTGCAAATAAAGAGTTAAATAATTGGCGCAGTGAATGTGCTGACAGAGACGGACTGATTGGCAGCATGAAAATGGATCTACACAATGTGAAACACTGCTTTGAGAAGGAGAAGAGTCGAGCTGTTGAAGCTGAAAACGAAATTCAAAAACTCACGCAGGCTCATCAAAAAAATACTGAGGTATTGTGACAAACAGTAAGACAGAACAACCTGTAAATAAATATTGAATATGACGGGCTAAACAGCCACTATGTGTGGCCCAGCTCGACATATGTCATTCTTCATATATATTTTAAAAGATGCCTTGGAAATACTTCAGGTATGTGATGTGTAAATAGGGACATTTTAAGACAAATTGAATGCAGTATTTGTTGCATTAAATGTCAATTTTGAGGTTATTCAGGTAAGGGTTAGTCCTTGTGCTACAGAACCAGACATGTTTGTATGTGGTGTGCATAATGCACATGGTGTTTGTTTATTGTAGACAATCTTGGAATATCAAAAAGTTGCAATTTATACCTGACTACAACAGGAAAATCTTGAGTCAATTGGCTTGTCTAAGATCAGGTAGAAATTGTGAACAAATGTCATGACACGCACTGAAAACAGATATCAGCTAGCACTTCCTCTGTACATAGAGCTGCCTATTGATGAGCAGGTAGATGTATGTAGCAGGTAATAGACTGTTTGGTAGGTCTCTAGCAGCTGTCTCTGATAGGCAGCGCTCCGAGGTGCTATAAAAATGCAAGATGTGTTCTTGCATAGCATGTTTGGAATTCTCTTCCAAAGTACAATTAAAATATTTTGGGTTGCATTTTAGCTGCATAGAGTAAACTCAAAAGAGCTATTCAGTTTGATTAATAATTTGAGGTTTATTATTATTAATATTAATAATCTTCGTTATAAAAACTTAAAGTCTAGCAAAATGATATTTGAAATGTGACATTTTGCAATATGTTGCAAATAGGCTGAGTTTTGATGTCATAAAACAATTGAATTTTAAAGAATTGAGAAAGGCCATTTGAACATCATATCTGTGCTGGCTCTTTGAAAGAGCCATCCATTCAATCCCTTTTATGTGCCTTTTCTCCATACCTTGGAAAATTCCTGCTTTTATTTTAGATCTATTTACTTCCCTGTTAAAAGCGATTATGGATTCTACCTCAGCCACTACACCAAACCTAGCAGAGCATTCCACAATCTAACAACTCTCTGTGTAGAGGCCAAACTTACAGGTGAGATGTTTTTGAGAGCAAAGCAACTTTACAAATGCTCAAGTTCATCTTGGGTTTCAATCTTTTCACAAGGTAAAGAAATCCACTAGACATTTTAAGTACTTCAACATTTGGAAATATTTATTAGGGTATTTTTAAATATTATGTTTAGAATGGTTTAGCACACAACAACAACAAATTACATTTGTATAGTGACTTTCACGTCAGAAGGATGCCCCAAGGAACTGGGATGTCTTGTGGTGACTACACAGTCACTACACTGTGAAGCACTTTGAGATATCTCAATGATGTGATAAGTTACTATATCAATGCAAGCATTATTATAATGTAAACAGCATTAAAAAAAAGCTGCATTCTGAGTTGACTTGTATTTTAGTCAATGTTAAAATGTCCGCACATCAGTATTAATAACTAGGTGTAAATATTATCACGTGGAAAAAAAATTCATGTGGAGTTTTTGAACAATGCTCTGTACTCAATTGAAATCTGATCATTAGTGGAACTAATTGCTTTGGAAACACCTTTTTGATCTCTGCAGAAGTAAGAATGTATCACAGCCAATGTAGCAACACAGATGTTTAATTATGTAAAACCTTTGTGCAGGGCTAGGCTAGGTTTGAGATTATGACTGGAGTAAAAGTTACTGATGAAAACAAACAAGAAGAAAATTGATGTAGTGTAGTGCTATACTACTACGGAGTGGAACATAAAATTGAATTTTTGCAAGGTTAGGAAGCAGGGATAGATGCTAAAAGAAATTCGAGGCATAGATAGGTAGAGACTTGAATTTACAGTAGAAACCCGGTTTGCGGTCACCTCAGTAATCCAGCCACCTCACAATTGCAGACATGCTTTCATTGTCAATGTTAGAATATAGGCCGTCTGCTTCAGTAAACCGGGCACCTCACTATTCAGGACAATGGTCATTGATTGCGGCCGCTACAGCGCTCTCCTCCGGTACAAACATCCCACTCCGCTACTAACTTGTACAGTACACAGTGCGCTAGGCATCGGGCTCCTTGCTCTGTTTGCTTGACGCTGGGCAGGGTCTGGATGCGCTTGCGTGACGCGGGCAGCGTTGGGATCGTGGAAGCGGCGTGAGCGGAAAATCGACTTCGCCCGACGTCCGTGGCCTAAACTGATCTCCTGTGGCCAATTCTTGGTAAATGCTGTCTTCAGAGCACATGGTTTCTGTGTACGCTGTTTGTTTTGATTTAGTGACTGTTGACAAGTGTTGTAAACATGCCACCACGGAAGGAGTTGTCCTTACGTGAGAGAGTGGACTTAATCAAAAACAGTAAGAGCAAAAGTCATAGACAGTTAACTGTGATCTATGGCACTGGCAGAAGACAAGTTGGATACATTCTGTAAAGATAGGCTGAATACATGACAGCTTTTGTTTTAAATCTGACAATGCCTTTATTTTCATGAGATTGCAAAGTATGGTTCTTGAATGTTCATCATCCTTGCCCATTAGCATTGCCCTTAACATTACATCAGTGATCTGATTCACCTGACCTGTTTCAGTTATCAGGTCACCTTACTAAGTAAGTCACTTTTGCTCTGTCACTTGAGTGACCATATTAGTGAGGTTCTACTGTATTTAGAAAATTAAACTTAAATTAAATTAAAATTAAACTTAAATGTACTTACATGTACATATAATAATATATTATAATGTACATATAATAATATGTATGTACATATACATATATATATATGTATATATGTACATATAATAATATATTATAATACATATTATAATGTACTTGCATGCATCTGCATTGATATTGCATTTATGTTGTAACTTGACTGTAGGTTTATTTGTAACTTTTCCCCTAATCCATATGTCATTTCCTGGCCAAAAAAGCAGGTTGGATGACTGCTTCTCAGCCTCTGGTATCACATCTTCTTATCAGCTGTTAAGAGGTGTACAGGAAAATGTTGGGTTGACTTTCCCTTTTTTTTAAATCCAGCAAATAGCTACAACAACAGCAGCAAAATGACATTTGCAAAGCGCCTTTCACGTCGTGAGGATGTTCCAAGGCGCTGGACAGAGAGAGTTACGGACCCGAGCTGGGGATTGGGGTCGGGCAGGGTGGAGAGCAAGGAAGGAAATGAGGCGATCAAAAGCTCGGTCGAAGAGGAGGGTCTTGAGATGGGTCTTGAAGGTGGCAAGGGAGGGGGCAAGACGGAGGGACTGCGGAATGAAGTTCCAGAGGGTGAGGGCAGAGTGGCGGAAGGCCCGCCTGCCAATAGTGGGGTGGGTGAGCTAGGGGAAGTGAAGCAAGCCGGAGGCCTCTGCGCAGAGGGAGTGAACAGGAGCAGGGGGTTAGGAGGTCACAGAGGTTGGGGGAGCAAGACTGTGGAGGGCTTTGAAGATGAGGACCAGGATCCTGAACTGTATCCTTTGTATGATGGGAAGCCAGTGGAGTCGGGTGAGGATGGGGGTGATAGGGTCGCGGAGCCTGATGCAGGAGAGGACACAGGCTGCAGAGTTCTGGATGATCTGCAGCCTATGGACGTAGGAGTTGTGGAGGCCGACAAGCAATGAGTTTGCACAGTCGAGCCTCAGTGTAAGAAAGCATGTATGAGTGTTATCGGCGGCCTGCGGTGTGAGACAGTGGTGGAGCCAGGCAATGTTGCAGAGGTGGGGGAAGGCAGAGCGGTTCTTGGCACAGATGTGGGGTAAAAGGGATAGTTGAGGGTCAAACAAAACTCCAAAGTTCTGGACTGGCTTAACCAGGGTGGAGTGTGCAACTATAGATGGTGATGCTGTCAGTGCCTGAGGTGGGGAGGTGCTGACAGGAGCCAATCAGGAGAGCCTCAATCTTGTTGATGTTCAACTGAAGAAAGTTAGTTCTCATCCAGGACTTTATTTCCAACAGATATTCAGTCAGGACAGCAGTGGTCCTGGAGTCAAGGGTGGAGGCAGAGAGGTAGAGCTGGGTGTTATCCACATACATGTGGAAGTTGACCCCATGTTTGCGGATGATGTAACCAAGAGGGAGTATATAGATATTGAAGAGGAGGGGACCAAGGACAGAACCCTGAGGAACGCCGCACAAAATGGTCCAAGGGCTAGAGGAGAAGTCGTTTGTGGAGATGAAGTGCAGGCGGTGTGTACTGAATGGGCTCTTTATGCATTAAAGTTTCCATGATTCTATGAAGTCCTTCCTGGTAAAGCAAATCGCTTTCCAGGGGTTATGGTTTCTGCCAGTGTGGTTAGCAAGTTATTTGTAGGTCTATGTGGCAGCCAATTTGTACGCAGCAATGTCCCACAGACAGCCATGAAGTGAATGCCAATGTTGCCCATGAAATTGGAGAAACTCCCTTTTTACTACAACGATAACAATTTCTATTGTATAACACCTTTCACGTTGGGAAAACGTCTTAAAGCACTTATCCTAGTAAGCCTGAGGTCAATTTTAATAAACCCGCTGCTTCTCTGGCTTTGACCCAATTCAAAACCTGGACCTTCTGTTTGTGTGAAACTCATTTCGCACTATGTCGTGGCTTTACCAGCTGAGCCATCTGTGCATGTCACTATATGTACCACAATGTTAAATTGTTGAATTACCATCACTTGTTCAGTAATGGATACTTAGACAAATATTGTATAAAAGGAATTGTTAGAGCAACTTGCTGTTGTAGCTTTTTGTTTTGATTTCCAAATCATGACTTTTATTTTGCAGAAACAATATTGTCCAGCTAGCACAAGGCATCTTCATTTTCATAGGGTTTCTGCAAAACTTGTATTTGGTGAACTCAGAAATGTAGTTGTGCCAACTAAGCCAAAGGCAAACATTCTTTCCATGTCTCTTATACTGATTTTTAAATGTTGCACACGCAAGACTGTTGGGAATGTTTAGCAGCTGGAACATCGGGGACTAATTAAGCTCAGGAAACTAGTAGTTTGATCATATTGTAAAATGGACAAGTTTA